ATATCATGACATTATTGCCAATCACGGTGTTCAGGGTCTCCAACCCACAATATGACAATGGGAGAATGGAAATCATTTTCAAAATTGTCCTCTTTGTAATAAAATCAACATGACGCTGTAATTGAACTATTAACTGAGGTAGGTGATTAATGACCCTGGTGTCTTATTTTATAACAGACAAGTTTGACAAGTCACCATCAAAATATTACATAACTGATTTAGATACATTTATCTTACAAATATCTTTTACTTTAGAGATTTTCCAGTCAAATTGAAAATTCAAAAAGGATTTTTTTTAAATAGGATATACAAATCTAGAAGAAATCAAATTAAATCTGTGCATTTTCCCCTCTGACCTTCAGCAAACTCATACATGAAACTACTACCCATTGTGCTTCTTAAGCTAACAGTTATTGTATAAACATTTTCCTATATTTTCTATTGATGCACTTAAATTGTTGTCAAAATTTGAAATATTATGCGTTTAAAATTTGCACAAAACTTTAAAAATTTGTTTATGTCTTTGTTTCATTAATTAATTTTTAATACACAATGTCACTTCAAAGTTGTGAAAAGCAAACTGTAATGGCTAGTTATGAGTTATCTCCCCTCTGTCAATATTGTTGTTGTCAGAAACTACAAAAGGATATCAGCTTGAAGCTATGTATTTTTAGCAGCAATAAAAAATGCAACATTATACACAAATTCTAATTTTTTAGATAGCTTCATGTTTTCTTGACTTTTTTTCCAAACATGTAAAATTCTTAGATATTCCCCTGTTGACATCAAATCAAAAGAATGATTTCATTTCTATATTATTATTATTAAGTTATTATTATTCCTTTTATGTCCTCCAAGATTACATGAAAAGAATAAATACAATTAAAACACAATCAACATTAAAGAAGAGTTGTATAAATGTACAAAGCAAATCATAATAGTGTAATTGAGAAAAATATTTGATACAGAAATCTTAAATTTACAAGTTTCAACATTTCACAGCTAAAAGTACTCGCCAAGAAAGTATTTGCTAAGTCAAAGTCTAACAAATTATTCAACCACATCATGAAATTTATGCCCAACTTATTAAATAAGTGACACCTTAATTCATCTCAAATATCAATATTTCCATAGCAGTGACAAATAATATATGTAATAGAATCATCGCACAACATACCGCCGTAGTGACACTATTCCTCATGGTTCAAAATACAAGAGCTTACACAAATTTTTTTAAATACACTGTATATAAATATTGAGAATACTTTACTGCTAATTTCCATGAGTGATGTGTTTTAAGCTTAAGATGGATAAACTCTGAAAAATTGTTGTCAGAGAGAATGATATTAGTATGAATAAGGTAGAACCTGGATTAAGGGTCAATTATGCATATCAAGTGAGTTACAACTGCACATTTACAAAGGAGATCATTCTTATACAATAAAAATGGTGGATGAAAAAAGCTAGTGCTTGCTGCTAAAGCAGTATCAATTTGAAAATTGAGGGAAAACTTTTTAATATCTACGATGTCAAATCCTAAAATCAACAATCAAAATTCTTTAAGAAACATTTGTTATGGTAGTAGATACACTTGTCTTGTCGAAAATGTTCTCTTACTTAATAAATACATGCTAAAACTAAGGGTTTTCTGAAAATTTAGTTATTTTGCCAATGCTAGTTAACAAAAATATCAAACAGTATGATTTAATGTTGATTATCAGGAGTGAATTAGTTCATGTATTTGGTTTTTTAATAATAAATTCAAACTTTATTGATAGTCTGTTTTGAATAAAGTAAACTTTTCTGGTAGTCTGTTCTGAATAAAGTAAAACTTTAGGAGCAACATATTACGTGTAACGTGGGTGAGAAATTCTATGAGAGGTTACAGCGGATGCGAGGCATTATAAGAATCATATCATAACAGGCTTGAAGTATTAATATTGAAAGTCAAATTTTATGTTTGGTCGATAATGCTAATGAGAAGTGGAGATTATTGAAATAAATCTATTACATAGCCAATGGGACATTTTACGGGAAGTCTTGTATAAGAGGAAGTGTAATCTTTGTAAGGTGTAGAAAATATTGAGAAGAAACTGTCAGGATGTTGCAAATAGTACAAGTAGTTAATGAGTGTATGGTATTAGGTCTCAACTTTACTAATCACTTATGGTATCAATAAAGTTTGCTAATGTGTATTTAGTTATATGAACATTAGAACATAGTGTACTATAGACCATGTCAGTGTGTAAAACTCACAAATTCACAAAGTCCATGTATGTATTATTGTGAGCCATAGCACTTTTGAAATTAATTAAGATCTGACACGGGAAAGTGATTCTGTAAGTCCTCTTCGCAATAAAGTTTTCTCTCATTTCTGGGAGAGGGGTTCCGATATACACCCCATATAACAGTGAGAGAATTCTCGGACTCCTCATAATGTTTGATGCTTTATGAATGGCTACTTCAATTACTTTTCATGTTATAAAATGAGTGTTGACAATGTTAAACATCTGATGAATGATCTCTGATAGTTAAATGCGACTGCTGCCAACTATAAAATGGTCTCCCCACAGCGAAGTAAAACTTGCCAATTCCGCCTAAACCACATTTTGCGCGTAAGAGAGGGAGAGAGAGAGAGAAGGAGAGAGAGAGAATGAAGTGGTCAATGATTTCTTATATTAACTTTGGTTTTGTTTGGATGTGCACAGAAACAGGAGCTCTTACATGGCACTCTCTCATATCACTAAATTACTCGCTCATTTTTGGCTTATAAATTCTTGGGGAATTTTTCCCCCAATCACTTCATATACTTAGTTATCTTTAGAAGTTTAGTCAAGCTTCTCCAAGGATGTTATGTGAGTCAAGTCACTTCTCTGAACCATTACAGAGTCAAGGGTCTTCTCATTGGTTACCTTAGCAGTCAAGTTTGTCCTGTGTTTGAAGGCAGCTACTCTGTATACATAGTAAGTCACAGAGTCAAGTCACTTCTCTTTGAGCCAAGTCTCTTCAGAGTCAAGTACTTCTCTTATATGGAGTCTAGCCGATTGCCTTCTTCACTGTGCTTCTCTGATATCACAGAGTTAAGCTCGTTAACTTAGTTTCTGAAGGCAGCTACTCCGTATACATAGAAAGTCACAGAGTCAAGTCACTTCTCTTTGAGCCGAGTCTCTTCAGAGTCAAGTACTTCTCTTATATGGAGTCTAGCTGTTTGCCTTCTTCACTGTGTTTCTCTGATGTCGCAGAGTCAATCTTGTTAACTTATTTTATTAGGTGCTTATGAGTGAGTTGCCCCTGTTTGCACCAAAAAATTATGTTTTCCATGTACAAATAACAACATGTTTACAGTCATCAATAAATTGTTAACTTCAGTCATGCTTGAGTGTTTTTGTATAAACATTGATTAAATACATATGTGCAGAGAGCCATTATACAATAGTGAAACTGAATCAGGAGAAGTTGGTAGTGGGTTTTTTAATCTTGTCCACTGGTTTCGTCCAAACTATGTGCGCTTCATCAGGACAACAAATGTATGAAATTTTTTTCCCTAAAGTACTTAAAATGTGGGCACGTTATATTATGACATACACGATAAGGGTCACATACGTGACCGTCCATTACATTCTATAGTTTCCATAATGGTTAACACAGTTCATTGTATGTTTTCTACATAATTATATATCAGATATTGTGCCTGTTACCCAATAAATCATCAATGATTGCAATTACTGTTACAGAATTCATGAAATTAAAAGATTCTTTCATCTAAACAAATGATAGAAGCAGAGTTTTACTTATATTGTTGGAGCTTCCTCCTATTTCGGATGCGGTTGTAGACATCGACTGGTATCCCAACATCTTGTAGTCCTGTGTGTTTACTTCAGATGAGGATGCGGTGTCGTCACTATCCGTGTCCGACAGTGCTAAGTCCTTTTTAAGTAGTTCAATGGCCTCGTCCAGGACTGGTCTGAACTGTCAACTTTAAGGGCCAACCATGCTTCCCGGTTTTACTCTGAATTTTACAAGGTCCAATTGCTTTTTTAGTCAGCACTTCAAACGACCAGGTTTTAATGCATTAATTTTAGACACATTTTCAAACAGTTCCTGTTAAACGCCATATCCCTGGTGTTCTTTTCTTCGTTGAGGAGTATATGTTTCCTTCCTTCCATATGTTCGTTTGCATATCTTGTATTTGTACCAGGTTTTTATGAGACCATGCGCTGTGTCTGCATGTCTCCGTAAGTTCCTAATAGTTGAGTAAGTTCTCACACATTTGATGCCAGGGATTCTCAGTTTCGTCTTTGGCTACTTTCTTGGCGTTGTTTTGGTATACACCATCATGAGATTATGTTGAGACCATCAGGAGTTGTGGTCTGTAGGATGCGTATCCAACTTTTTACTGTTTGGAGTCGACGATTGGTATCCATGACGTCCTTCACAATACCTTTTACTTTAACGTCATTAATTTATTTCCTTTAGCAAGGAATTTCAGCTTTATCTAAGGAGTTAACTAGTTGAATATCAAGATTCTTGGTTTTATGTTAATCAATAAAGATTATTTCAGTGTTTTAGCAAATGTGACCCCTGTGACCTTGAATATGGATCAAAATTATTTCTTTTGCTAACTTTAACTTGCTGTTTTTTCCTTTAAGGCACATATCTAAAAAAAAAACTGATTCTAGGCCTCTTGGTTCAACATAAGTTGTTGTTTGAGTACTTAGCACTTTTGAATCCTATGGCTCAACGAAAAGTCAAGCTTGTTTCTTTTTGAAAACATTGTAGGGCCTCGTACAAATACAATACCAGCTGACATAACTCTTGATTACTTAGTTATTGATCATGTAGAGGAAAATGTTTACAATGAATTGAAAGTGAACAGCCAAACACAATACCAATTTCCCCGGCTTTTTGGAGATCCAAGCAAGCTAAGAATAAAGTACAAAAGGCACACAACACAAGGCAACCAGTAAACATTACAAATTTAATAGAAATTCTTTCTCCTTTCAAAATAAATCTGTTTGATACAAGATTATACACTTCTGTTTGAGGCATCAACATTTATCTGGTAACTGTTACAATGCATCATAGTATGTAATATCATGTTTGTTCATACAGAAGTTCACAACACCACCACCTGGTGAACATATTAATTACAATATTTAAGTATGGTTAATTGCTTTTAACAAGAGATTTGAGTTCGTGAACAAAAACATTTGTTTTAATTACAGCCTTTCAAGTAAATATTTGCTGCCTTTGTAGAAGGATGGGTGAGCAAGGTAAAAATATTACTGTTCTCTTACTGTTTGACATTGTGTTACTGTTAACAATGTTGGTAAGTTTTGATAGCCATAGTATAGACAAGTATATCAAATATTCCATACAAATAATCGTGCAGTTTTTCATTAGAATTGATTAACAACATTAATCAGTATTGTATATCAGCTTTAGGTGATAAATATGTACAGCAACTTTCATTAAGATATATTTAAAATTTATTGTCTGTATAAGAATTTATTTGAAAATTCACACCTTTTTTTTTTACCTTTGACCTTAAAGACAAGGTCACAGTGACCTATCTACAGTCCATTATACATAAGCTATAGGTAACAAAGGTAGGTGTACAGAAACTTTCATTAACATCTCTTTAACAGTTCAAAAGTTATTGCTAGGACAAGAAATTATCAGGAGAACCAGAATAAGAAGAAGAAGAAACAAAACTGAAATAATATATCTTAATCCCTACTGTCTGAGAGGAGACATGAAAATCAACAAAAACAAAACATAACATTAACAACCACCATGAAATATAAAGCTTTGGTAATTAACATTTCTTATTTTCTTTTTTTTCTAGTCAACAGGAAAAAGGGATAACATTAATTGCCACTGTTATACTGACCTTGTTGTTAAATTGAATGATTGTACCCAGCAAACAAGACTCCAGGTTATATATATGGTATGGTTAGTATATACACATAATTAATGTTCTGGAGATACAGCGATGTGTGTATTAAGACATATCAGGCCCTGTATAACGTTAACTATTATTCTGGAGAAAACATCACTATGGCATGCAAGAAGATCTGCATTGGCCAGGCTTATCTAATAGACTTAAGAATGCCTGTCTTATTCTTATGTACAAAATTTCTCACAACCTTAATGCTGTATATAAAAATCTCTCAAAAACCACTGATGAGTCAGCCTTGACTTTCTCATCCATTCAACTCGACTCTCTTTTCCTTTCATCTCGACTCTCTCATCCTTTCACCTTGACCTCCTCATCCTTTAACCTAAATTTTCTCATTTTTTCACCTCAATTCTCTCATCTTTTCACTTCAACTCCCTCATTCTTTCATCCTGACTCTCTAATTCTTTCACCCCGACTCTCTCATCTTTTCACCTCAACTCCCTCATCCTTTCACCTCGACTCTTTCGTTCTTTCACCTTTACCTCCTCATCCTTTCACCTCAATTTTCTCATCATTTCACTTCAGCTCACTCATCCTTTCATCCTGACTCTCTCATCCTTTCACCTTGACTCTCTCATCCTTTCATCTCAATTCTCTCCTCTTTTCACCTCAACTCCCTCATCCTTTCACCCTGACTCTCTAATCTTTTCACCTCAATTCCCTCATCCTTTCATCCCGAGTCTCTCATCCTTTCACCCTGACTCTACCATCCTTTCACCCTGATCCTCTCATCCTTTCACCCTGACTGTCTTATCCTTACACCCTGACTCTCTCATCCTTTCATCCTGACTCTTTCATTCTTTCACCCTGACTGTCTCATCCTTTTATCCTGACTATCTCATTCTTTCACCCTGACTGTCTCATCCTTTCATCCTGACTCTCTCATTCTTTCACCCTGACTCTCTCATTCTTTTATCCTGACTCTCTCATCCTTTCACCCTGACTCTCTCATTCTTTCACCCTGTCTGTCTCATCCTTTCACCCTGACTGTCTCATCCTTTCACCCTGATTCTCTCATTGTTTCACCTCCACTCTCTCATCCTTTCATCTATCAAACAATTTACAGGTAAACTGTTGAAAAAAAATGCCTTTTCTCTAAACTATCCCAGAATGGAACAAACATTCACCAGACCTTGTTACATCTTAATCACTTAGAGGTTTTAAATTTGATAAATATCAATGTCTTTTTTCCCTCCTGTAGAGTGTACACACGACTATTAATGACAAAGCTTCAGTAGGTTGAAGGAGGTTAATTAATGGGTAGATGTTTGGATGTAGATATGTGTGTGGGATATGACAGACCAATAATTCATATTCTGATACATAACACCATAGAATGTACCTCTATACCAATTAAGTGACTGGAAAGATTCGATGGCTAAGCCTTACAGATGTGTGATTTAACATCATGAGGAATTATAATCACTCAGTAATATGTGTGTGTTATTATTGATTCCAATCCCTCTGTATAACATATCCCCCAACAATATCTAACTAGAAAACATGCATACGGAAAAGTAACACATTTTTTTACGTTAACAGTTAGTAACAAGGTACTTGGTATTTGATCATATGAGCTTTTCTATGAACCATACGCCTAAAACATACAGAAACTTATTATACAAACAAAAAGAAATTGCATGCAATTCAAGTAAATCAATTTTATTTCAAAACACAAACAAAAGAATGGTACTCTTAAAAAACAATAAAATGAGTGAATTTACCATAAGAATCGTCAACAGATGCTCCAGCGCCTTAAGTCTGTAGTAGCTGTCATTATCATAATGATACAACAAATTGAATCCTCTGTATATCAAAATTCTAGAATTCCTAGGCTTGTGATAACGTGTAGCTTTAACCCACAGTACCAAACCAACAAAGATTTCATTCTACATTTAATATGGAAAGTGTTCACTGAATATGAAAAGTGTCCACTAAGTATAAAAAGTGTCCTCTGAGTATGAAAAGTGTCTACTGAGTATGACAAGAATTCTTCGGAACTGTATGTGTTGCCTGCATAAAGTGTCACGGTCACCCAGAAATTGAACTGGATGTGCAACGATCAACCATAAAGTTGTAATACCAAATTTCATTTCTATACCTTGAAGCATAAAGGGCAAACTGCGCAAAGAAATATTCCAGAAAAATTTTCGAACTTCAACGGACATATCACTGCCAAGAAGGGTTACAGACTGCCAAGAAGCGAACTCGGTGCGGAACTCATATACAAAATTGCATTTTCATAACTCGAAGCATAACCAAGAAAATTCCAGAAAACAATATTCCCAGAGAATTTGAGTTCAATGGGTCAGGAAGAGTCACGGAGAGCTGAGAATTGAACTTGATCTGTAATCTTCCACCAAGAAGCCATATACAACATTTCATTATGTTAACTCAAAGCATAATTGGGAAATATCTGGAAAACAATATTCCCAGAGAATTTTCTTAGTTCAAAGGAGCATAACTCAGCCAAGAAGGCAGCCAGGAATCAAACTAAATCTGTACCCATGCAACAAGAAGCCATCTACCAAATTTCATTTCGATAACTCAAAGCATAAGCCAAAAAAGTCCGGAAAATAATATTCCCAGGAAATTTTCTAAGTTGAAAGGGGCATAACTCTGGCAAAAAGGGTCACATACAGCCGGGAATTGAACTTAATCTGTACCCTTGCAACAAAAAGCCAGATATTAAATTTCATTTTGATAACTCAAAGCATTACTGAAAAAAGTCCGGAAAACTTTCATACAGACGACGAAGCCAACGACGACGACGAGTGATGACGGACAAAGTGATCCCTAAGTGTCCGCCAGCACTGCAGGTGACACAAAGTGTCCACTAAGTATGAAAAGTGTCCTCTGAGTATGAAAAGTGTTCACTGAATGAGAAAATTTTCTACTGAGTATGAAAAGTGTCTTCTGAATATGAAAAGTGTCCTCTGAGTATGAAAGGTGTCCAATAAATATGTGCCTTCATGACAGAGGACAGAGGTATTGTCTGAACCAAAACAACATACTAAACCTCTGTAGATGAATGCTTAATCTATGATTGTGATCCTACAGATTTGCCTGAGTTTCTGAAAGGTATAACAAACACCAGTCCTACATTGTCATTATGTTCCAGCCCTGCATTTCAAGCTGAAGTTCCAGTATCTTTTCTCATGAAATATACCTAGCTCAAATGCCTTGGTACACGCTGCAGCCTCCTGGATCTTGTGTATACTTTGAATTATTAGTTGTTACGAGAAGATATTTTCTAGGCCTACCTCACTCGTGTCATCCCCCAAGATCTTGTACTTCAGTTCTTTGTAATTGCCAGTAATTAAGAGAAGACATTTTCTAAGCCTAACACCTTGGATGCAGCCTCCCGAATCATGTACTTCAGCACTTTGTAATTGCCAGTAATTAAGAGAAGACATTTTCTAAGCCTAACACCTTGGATGCAGCCTCCCGAATCATGTACTTCAGCACTTTGTAATTGCCAGTAATTAAGAGAAGACATTTTCTAAGCCTAACACCTTGGATGCAGCCTCCCGAATCATGTACTTCAGCACTTTGTAATTGCCAGTAATTAAGAGAAGACATTTTCTAAGCCTAACACCTTGGATGCAGCCTCCCGAATCATGTACTTCAGCACTTTGTAATTGCCAGTAATTAAGAGAAGACATTTTCTAAGCCTAACACCTTGGATGCAGCCTCCCGAATCATGTACTTCAGCACTTTGTAATTGCCAGTAATTAAGAGAAGACATTTTCTAAGCCTAACACCTTGGATGCAGCCTCCCGAATCATGTACTTCAGCACTTTGTAATTGCCAGTAATTAAGAGAAGACATTTTCTAAGCCTAACACCTTGGATGCAGCCTCCCGAATCATGTACTTCAGCACTTTGTAATTGCCAGTAATTAAGAGAAGACATTTTCTAAGCCTAACACCTTGGATGCAGTCTCAAAGATCTTGTACTTCAGCACTTTGTAATTGCCAGTGATTAAGAGAAGACATTTTCTAAGCCTAACATCTTGGTTGCAGCCTCCCGAATCTTGTACTTCTGTACTTTGCCAGTCACTGTTAGTGGGTAGTCATCTACAAAGTTGATGTACCTTGGCACTTTGTATCTTGCAAGCTACATCAAAATATGAAACACAATTAAAAAAATATATATTTCTTCAAGTAATAAGCAGTATATCTTATCAACATTTTCATCACATTTTGAAATTAAATTTCTATTTAAATCTTGTAAAGGATATATGATCAACTGTAAATCCTTGGATATCTAAAACAAATTCTTATGGCTGTTTTAATTACAACAAAATTTTAAGAAGAATGTGAGAAAGAGGTAATACAATGCACTTTATCTATATCTATCACTGACCTTGTCTTTACAAAAGTCCTTAACCTCCTTTTCTGTGAGCTTCTGACCATCCTTGACCTGAATCCAGGCACAAATTTCCTCTCCTAGGCGCTTGTCTGGCACTCCTACTACCTGGAAATACAGACTTTTCCACTGTTTTCATATGCCAAACCTTGATAACAACTCTGATACAATACCATTGTATCACTGATCTTGAGACAATTCTACATAGTTTGTAGTTCTTTGTAATAACCTTAGCTGTCACATGTAAATATATACCAGAACCCCAGACTGAAAAAACACTTTGTATTGATTACAACTTCATATGTTGTACTTTACTCATCTAATTGTGAGATTGTCCTGAACTTTGGAATGTAATTATTCAGCTGTATATCCATCACCTTCTTTTTGTAACCTTGAGTTACACTTGCCTATACATCCTTGACCTTTGGTCTGTAATTGTTTGACTTTGAGTTACACTTGCCTGTACATTCTTGACCTTTGGGATGTAATTGTTTGACCTTGAGTTACACTTGCCTGTACATCCTTGACCTTTGGGCTGTAATTGTTTGACCTTGAGTTACACTGAGTTAAACTCGCCTGTACATCCTTGACCTTTGGGCTGTAATTGTTTGACCTTGAGTTACACTTGCCTGTACATCCTTGACCTTTGGATGTTTGTACAACACTTCTTCTATTTCCATGGGATAAACATTTTCTCCACCTCTGATGATAAGGTCTTTTATCCGTCCAACAATTTTACAGAATCCCTCTTCATCAAATACTGCAGTATCTCTAAAGGCACAAAATGATCATTTTTACAGTGTACCATATTTACAACAGAAGTTTTACTTGAAACATTTGATACGTTTTGATTGAACCAGTAACTATGGATTATTTTGACTATGATACCAATTAACCTACTGAAACCACACGCTTACAAGTCACACTGTAAAACACCTACCCAAAATACTTCATCAAATACAAAATCAAAAATTCATACTTAGACCACTAACAAATTTCATGGTATGTCATGACCCTACAATAATAGTGACCTGATAACAAAAATATATACATGTCCATACCCTGTTGAATACCAGCGACTTGTGCTGATGACCTCGCCAGTTTTCTCCGGATCATCCCAATAGCCCAGCATAGTATTGATACCACGGATACACAGTTCTCCAGTAGTTCCCACAGGGACCATGTTCCCCTCCTTGTCCACTATCTTGGCCTTAAAATGGTAGACATGTCTACATAAAGAATTGTCCAATTATAACACAAATCAGCAGTGCCCTATATTGTACCATAACTCATTTCCCATTTTTTAACATTATAATTAATTCATCATGAAAATATCAGGAAACAATTCTGTACAATTTACACTGTTAATTGACAACATCTAAGTTCAGACTTAATTGCATGTCCCACACATCTCAAACACAAGAACACCTGCACTATAATTTAGCTGAAAATTCACACAAATCTCTCCTCAACACATCTGTACATACCTCCACATGGTCCAGAGGTCGGCCTACTGTGGATGTTCGCCTTTCTAAGTTATCATCTGTCATTGTCTGAAATGTCACTGGACTGTTCTCTGTCGTACCATATGCTACCTGTATTTACAATCATACAGACACACATAGAACAGGAAATATCTGAAAATAACTTCTATCAATCAAATTTAAGAATCTTTTTTAATACCAAAAGTGTCACAACATAAACAAGAGATTCCAGAGAGATCTTGGTGCCCAACATCATTTCATCTACCCTTGTTCTTAAAAGTTGGATCTCATCCCTTCTTTTCTTCTCCGTCCTTTGATTTATTCTTAATTATAAGAAATCTAAAAACTTCTCTTAATAAACAGTCTTAATAGTCTTAAACTTCTAAATTAGTTGCCTGTTTGCCATTTCTGTTTTTCTCAACAGTCACAAAATTCAAAAGGAACCATGAGGAATCTACAAGGAAATTTGAGAAAGGTCCATCTAGTGCTTATCAAGAAGTATCAATAAAAAAATTCATTGCCAAAATTCAAGATGGCCACTGCCAGTCATTTTGTTTTCTAATCTGTCCCAAAATTAAAAGGACACAACTAGGGACCAAGGGTCAGCTACAAATGAACTTTGAGAAGGATCCATTCAATACTTCTCAAGCAAAAGCAGAAACAAATATTGTTTACAGGCGGATGGACAGACAGACCACGGACATAGGGTGATATGAATAGCCAATCACCTGATAATACATTCTGTAGAGAAAACCTAAACAATTTGTTATTTGTTACTTATTAAGTCAATAATACATACTGTTACTTTTGGCATATGCATCTTCTCATTAACCTGTAGCATGACCTCCACAGGACAAGGTGACCCAGCCATGATGCCAGTACTGAGAGAGGTCAAGTCAAATTGATTGAAGTCTGGATGATTCAACATGTCTATAAACATGGTAGGAACTCCATACAGGGCAGTACACCTACAGAGATACAGTTATCAATGACAAAATATGCATAGAATGTTACATAACTCATTTTCTTTATATTTCATTTCAAGAAAACAAAACATTTTAATCACAGCTCACCAACCAGGAATGAAGAGAGATTTGAACAGCCCACCATTGTAACCACCATCTGATGAAGGTGGTTTAAAAAATTACAAACTGTATCTTTGGTTAAAACTCAATTTAATTTGCAATAGAAAACCTTAAAATCAAAGGAACAGCACCAGTACTTCTTAATGTGTCATTATGAAAGAGTCTCTTCAAGAGTGTCTGACAAAGAAAAACTCACCTTTCTTCTGCCACAGCTTTAAGAGAGGCCCCTGCGTCAAACCCTGGTCCAGGGTATACACATTTAGATCCATGGGTAATGGTGCACAAACTGGCCATCACCATACCAAAACAGTGATACAGTGGCACAGGTACACAGATCCTAGTCGCCTATAAATATATACCCTTAAATATTCCAGCACCATGGGTAGAGAGATTCTTCAACCCCTGGCACTATTTCTTGAACTTCCAGATTTTTAAATTTAAATATGCAGCCAATGTAACAGTGTATCTATCTGAAAATAATCATTTCCAAGTTTCTTATTTACAACTGAACCATTGAGAGAAAAAGGAAGTAGTTAAAATCATCAAAATGTTTGTACACATTTTGTTACCTCAGTGTGATATCCCAAGCGTCGCCCCAGGAAATGGCTGTTGTTTACAATGTTATGGTGTGAAAGAGTAGCTCCCTTAGGTACTCCTGTAGTGCCCTGAAACAGGGACAAGAACAAAGTAAACCTCAAAAACAGAAATAACATTGTATTTGGTAATTTTACATTTTATATCGAAACTCAAAGAGATCTTAATCTTTTTTAAATTTCTAGCGAGAAAGTAAAATTAGTTTTAAGTTATTGTACAGAACAAAATTTCAACCCCTGCTGGACGATAGCCTTGTTTGATTCCACTTTGTATCAAATTAATTTTGGTTTTTTACAATCTAGACCATCTCAATGTTTTAACCAGAACATATCTGATTGAACCATATGGACCACTAGGGATGTAAAAGTGACCTTAAAAGTGTATGGAACCAATCACCAGGAATGCAATAGTGACCTTGACAGTGACCTTGACAGTGTATCAGACAAATCACCAGGAGTGTAACAGTGACCTTGAAAATGAATCAGTATCTCACTTGCATTCTCACATGCTATTTCCGCATGTGCATGCTAAAAGTTTCGCGGCAATGCGCCACATACAATATTTATGGTACACTGATTGCCATTACATACGAACACATATAGCTAAAATACTATGAATAATGACACTACTACATCAGACCAATCACCAGGAGTGTAACAGTGACCTTGACAGTGAATCAGACCAATCACCATGAGTGTTACAGTGACCTTGACAGTGTATCAGACCAATCACCTGGAGTGTAAGAGTGACCTTGACAGTGTATCAGACCAATCACCAGGAGTGTAACAGTGACCTTGACAGTGTATCAGACCAATCACCAGGAGTGTAAAAGTGACCTTGACAGTGTATCAGACCAATCACCATAAGTGTAACAGTGACCTTGACAGTGTATCAGACCAATCACCTGGAGTGTAAGAGTGACCTTGACAGTGTATCAGACCAATCACCTGGAGTGTAAGAGTGACCTTGACAGTGATTCAGACCAATCACCATGACTGTTACAGTGACCTTGACAGTGAATCAGACCAATCACCATGAGTGTTACAGTGACCCTGACAGTGAATCAGACCAATCACCAGGAGTGTAACAGTGACATTGACAGTGAATCAGACCAATCACCAGGAGTGTAACAGTGACCTTGACAGTGATTCAGACCAATCACCATGACTGTTACAGTGACCTTGACAGTGTATCAGACAAATCACCAGGAGTGTAACAGTGACCTTGAAAATGAATCAGTATCTCACTTGCATTCTCACATGCTATTTCCGCATGTGCATGCTAAAAGTTTCGCGGCAATGCGCCACATACAATATTTATGGTACACTGATTGCCATTACATACGAACACATATAGCTAAAATACTATGAATAATGACACTACTACATCAGACCAATCACCAGGAGTGTAACAGTGACCTTGACAGTGAATCAGACCAATCACCATGAGTGTTACAGTGACCTTGACAGTGTATCAGACCAATCACCTGGAGTGTAAGAGTGACTTTGACAGTGTATCAGACCAATCACCAGGAGTGTAACAGTGACCTTGACAGTGTATCAGACCAATCACCAGGAGTGTAAAAGTGACCTTGACAGTGTATCAGACCAATCACCATAAGTGTAACAGTGACCTTGACAGTGTATCAGACCAATCACCTGGAGTGTAAGAGTGACCTTGACAGTGTATCAGACCAATCACCAGGAGTGTAACAGTGACCTTGACAGTGTATCAGACCAATCACCAGGAGTGTAACAGTGACCTTGACAGTGTATCAGACCAATCACCATAAGTGTAACAGTGACCTTGACAGTGTATCAGACCAATCACCTGGAGTGTAAGAGTGACCTTGACAGTGATTCAGACCAATCACCATGACTGTTACAGTGACCTTGACAGTGAATCAGACCAATCACCATGAGTGTTACAGTGACCCTGACAGTGAATCAGACCAATCACCAGGAGTGTAACAGTGACATTGACAGTGAATCAGACCAATCACCAGGAGTGTAACAGTGACCTTGACAGTGATTCAGACCAATCACCATGACTGTTACAGTGACCTTGACAGTGAATCAGACCAATCACCTGGAGTGTAACAGTGACCTTGACAGTGATTCAGACCAATCACCAGGAGTGTAACAGTGACCTTGACAGTGTATCAGACCAATCACCAGGAGTGTAACAGTGACCTTGACAGTGTATCAGACCAATCACCATAAGTGTAACAGTGACCTTGACAGTGTATCAGACCAATCACCTGGAGTGTAACAGTGACCTTGACAGTGTATCAGACCAATCACCAGGAGTGTAACAGTGACCTTGACAGTGTATCAGACCAATCACCAGGAGTGTAACAGTGACCTTGACAGTGTATCAGACCAATCACCATAAGTGTAACAGTGACCTTGACAGTGTATCAGACCAATCACCTGGAGTGTAACAGTGACCTTGACAGTGATTCAGACCAATCACCAGGAGTGTAACAGTGACATTGACAGTGAATCAGACCAATCACCAGGAGTGTAACAATGACCTTGACAGTGAATCAGACCAATCACCATGAGTGTTACAGTGACCTTGACAGTGTATCAGACCAATCACCTGGAGTGTAACAGTGTCCTTGACAGTGTATCAGACCAATCACCAGGAGTGTAACAGTGACCTTGACAGTGTATCAGACCAATCACCAGGAGTGTAACAGTGACCTTGACAGTGTATCAGACCAATCACCATAAGTGTAACAGTGACCTTGACAGTGTATCAGACCAATCACCTGGAGTGTAACAGTGACCTTGACAGTGACAGACCAATTGACAGTGATTGACAGAATCAGACAATCACCATGAGTGTTACAGTGACCCTGACAGTGAATCAGACCAATCACCAGGAGTGTAACAGTGACATTGACAGTGAATCAGACCAATCACCAGGAGTGTAACAGTGACCTTGACAGTGAATCAGACCAATCACCATGAGTGTTACAGTGACCTTGACAGTGTATCAGACCAATCACCTGGAGTGTAAGAGTGACCTTGACAGTGTATCAGACCAATCACCAGGAGTGTAACAGTGACCTTGACAGTGTATCAGACCAATCACCAGGAGTGTAACAGTGACCTTGACAGTGTATCAGACCAACCAGGAGTGTAACAGTGACCTTGACAGTGTATCAGACCAATCACCAGGAGTGTAACAGTGACCTTGACAGTGTATCAGACCAATCACCTGGAGTGTAACAGTGACCTTGACAGTGATTCAGACCAATCACCATGACTGTTACAGTGACCTTGACAGTGAATCAGACCAATCACCATGAGTGTTACAGTGACCCTGACAGTGAATCAGACCAATCACCAGGAGTGTAACAGTGACATTGACAGTGAATCAGACCAATCACCAGGAGTGTAACAGTGACCTTGACAGTGAATCAGACCAATCACCATGAGTGTTACAGTGACCTTGACAGTGTATCAGACCAATCACCTGGAGTGTAAGAGTGACCTTGACAGTGTATCAGACCAATCACCAGGAGTGTAACAGTGACCTTGACAGTGTATCAGACCAATCACCAGGAGTGTAACAGTGACCTTGACAGTGTATCAGACCAATCACCATAAGTGTAACAGTGACCTTGACAGTGTATCAGACCAATCACCTGGAGTGTAACAGTGACCTTGACAGTGATTCAGACCAATCACCATGACTGTTACAGTGACCTTGACAGTGAATCAGACCAATCACCATGAGTGTTACAGTGACCCGGACAGTGAATCAGACCAATCACCTGGAGTGTAACAGTGACCTTGACAGTGAATCAGACCAATCACCAGGAGTGTAACAGTGACCTTGACAGTGAATCAGACCAATCCCCAGGAGTGTAACAGTGACCTTGACAGTGAATCAGACCAATCACCAGGAGTGTAACAGTGACCTTGACAGTGAATCAGACCAATCACCAGGAGTGTAACAGTGACCTTGATAGTGAATCAGACCAATCACCAGGAGTGTAACAGTGACCTTGACAGTGAATCAGACCAATCACAAGGAGTGTAACAGTGACCTTGACAGTGAATCAGACCAATCACCAGGAGTGTAACAGTGACCTTGACAGTGAATCAGACCAATCACCAGGAGTGTAACAGTGACCTTGACAGTGAATCAGACCAATCACCAGGAGGGTATAAAATATTGATGTCCGTGCCATCAGTTTGGTGAATTTGGCAGTCATAGATCATACATCTCTGGTTGAGACAGTGAAACGAACAGACAAACAATAATTTTTGCCTTAAATACTTACTGAGGTGAACTGGATGTTGATTGGATCATCAAACTGTAACTTTCTCTGAATATCCATAATCCCAAGACATCCTGCTGTTGTGGCTGAGTTTTGAACTTCACTGAACTTGAATGCACCTCTGTATGAATTAAAAAATATCATGCATACTTTCATCCTCAAAACTATACACAGGTTTACTGATAAACAAATATTTCATCCACAAATGACATACATGCATACATTTCTAGCTCACCTACTAGTAGTTCTATAAACTAAAACGAAATTCTACTCAACTTTGATCTCAGACATTTACAGGTAATCTTCATCATCTAAAACAATCATTAATAGTGACCTTGACACTATGGGTGTTGAAGATTAGTCATAAAATGAATAAAAAATTGCAACTTTTTAAAAAGTAGTTTCACAGACTGTATACTATCTCATTAATGAATAGAAACTGATGATTTTATAATGTTCTTACCTGTAGGAGTTATTTCCCATAGTTACCAGAATCTTAAGGGATGGCAACCTACAGAAAGATATGAGACAGTGTTATATTTGTAAGGTTGCTTCAATCTGACTAGTCTGCATCAAAATTATACAAGAGGATCTAAGGAAAGAATCTTCAATTCCAGAAATTTTAACTCTTTCTGTATTTCTTTATTTCATGTAAGCTCTTAATAATTTGATTTCAATCAAAATTACTTAATTCTCTGTAAATTCACCTGTGACTATTGATGTTTCCAGGAATGTTAGCACTCAGCTCAGGAACAACGTCACTCAGAATCTCATAATAATTCTGGTCCTTGAATTTTTCAGCAATGATAATTGCTTTACAACCTACCTGTTGGAAAATCGAATATATCATTGTGACAGAATACATAATATAAACAGGTATGTAGACTTGTGTTACTTCTTCACACTGTTAAGTTACTGAACAATGGTTTCATTGCATATGTAGACATAACTTCTAAAACTATTGACTAAGGTGGCTTATAACCGGTGAAGGGCTTGTAACCTTATTCATGAATTGTGTAAAAAAAAATTTTATAAAAATATTTCTCTTTAAAATTTGTGGTGATGGACCATATTCAGAAATAACTTTCATGGTTAAGCCACCACACTGATATCATGTTCCATACATCAACAGAATAACTTTCATGAGTAAGTCACCTTGATATCATGTCCCATACATCGGCAGAATAACTTTCATGGGTAAGTCACATTGATATCATGTCACATACATCGGCAGAATAACTTTCATGGGTAAGTCACCTTGATATCATGTCACATACATCAACAGAATAACTTTCATGGTTAAGCCACCACACTGATATCATGTCCCATACATCAACAGAATAACTTTCATGAGTAAGCCACACTGATATCATGTCCCATACATTGACAGAATAGCTTTCATGAGTAAGTCACACTGATATCATGTCACATACATCAACAGAATAACTTTCATGAGTAAGTCACACTGATATCATGTCACATACATCAACAGAATAACTTTCATGGGTAAGTCACACTGATATCATGTCACATACATCGGCAGAATAACTTTCATGGGTAAGTCACATTGATATCATGTCACATACATCGGCAGAATAACTTTCATGGGTAAGTCACACTGATATCATGTCACATACATCGACAGAATAACTTTCATGGTTAAGCCACCACACTGATATCATGTTCCATACATCAACAGAATAACTTTCATGAGTAAGTCACACTGATATCATGTCCCATACATCAACAGAATAACTTTCATGAGTAAGTCACACTGATATCATGTCACATACATCAACAGAATAACTTTCATGAGTAAGTCACACTGATATCATGTCACATACATCAACAGAATAACTTTCATGGGTAAGTCACACTGATATCATGTCACATACATCAACAGAATAACTTTCATGGGTAAGTCACACTGATATCATGTCCCATACATCAACAGAATAACTTTCATGAGTAAGTCACACTGATATCATGTCGCATACATCAACAGAATAACTTTCATGAGTAAGTAACCTTGATATCATGTCACATACATCAACAGAATAGCTTCCACTGTTATCAGTAGAATAGAGAAAACTTACCTTGCCAAGGGCATATTCCAATTCCTTTTCCTTGTACTGTGGATTAACATTAACCTGTCGGTGAGAATTAAAAACAGTTAAACTAAATCCAGTCCTTTTTTTCATAGCTTTGTTTGTTGGGTGTAATGCCCATTAAACTGTTAGGTTCACTCGGAGGCAGGGATTCCTTGTAGTAGCTCGTGACTACCTTATTGAATGTCATGCGGGAGGCTCACAATATTCTCTACAGACAATGAATCTGGCCTATGCATTGACACAACCACAACATGCAACAAAGCAGTGGCCACTTTAGCCTCAACTTCTGAGAGACACAAACTACCCTGGTTATTTCTGATAAATTTCATTCACAGTTTCACCGCTTCTTGATTGAAAGGATAGTTCAGGGATAAATTAAAGTATTGATTATGAAAATATTTACCACAGACAAAAATTGAAATAAATAATAAAAACTTCTCATTATTTAGCAATCTGAGTATACACTTCGACTGCATTTTCAATTTTTTTCATTTTTCAAATATCAACTAGTATTTCTGAGGTATTTATACTGAACTGAATCAAACAAATGTTGAGATTTTCCAAGATATTACAATTTTACTCTACTGCTCACCAGAATGAGGCCAGCCCTGGCTGTAGCGTACTGGGTGAGGACCCATTCATAACTGTTAGGACCCCAGATTCCGACACGATCTCCCTTCACCAGTCCCAGACCCACCAGTCCAGCAGCCAGCTTGTCTACCTGTCAATGGACTTTCTCTCTAATATTTTCTGTTTTACATGTAATGGGAAAATTTTGTTTATTTCAAATATCAAGTACCATTCATAGCATTAATGTATCACATTCTATTTATTTTGAATATTATTGTTGTCACTTAAGTCTCAAAATGGCAGTAACACCAGCTGCTTAATAAAAAGGTTTTGTGATGAAATCAACAGTAAATAATGAAATGAATAACCTCTTCCATAAATTGTGCATATGTCTTCCTAATATTTTGGGAACAGAAAACAACAACTTCTTTTTCAGGTGACATTTCAACTCTCTCCTGTAGAAGATTTCCAATAGTTATCCCCCTTGGCGAGACGTCTGACTGCCCATGTACATAACTCCATTTTAGTCTGGATTTCCCCTCTGAGCTGGAACTGTAGAACCTGAATGCATGAATACATATAACCAGAGGTGAAAAGCAGCCACCACAAGTGTTCTACAGGTCCTCTGACTCATACACAGATCCAACATGCTTCTACCCAGTACCACGTATAAAGCAAATTCATTCAAACAAAAGTCGAGATAACTTGCTTTGTCATGGTTAGATAAAGTTTAGATAATGTTCATATATCTCTTATAGACAGGATTACATGACTACAGCACACTTCTTTCAGTATCAAGACTTCCTCATGAAGATGGACCCACCCTTTTCTGTATGCTCTCAGTATGTAAACCCTTTAAAGAAATAAACATACTGATAAAATCTCAGTTCTTAAATCAAAATTGTTGACTGATATGTATAAATCATAAATTGGCACATGCATACAATGTATATACACACATGTTATATAATTATCTAAACAAAATAAATTAGAGTTAAAGTCATGTATATATGCATATATTATGATTTGTGTACATCAGTATTCACAAAGATAGATAATTGTTAAAATAAAGTAAGGAAACAAGGTAAGATTGTAGTAGGGTACAATTTTGTAAATTGACTTTGTAAGGTATTTTTTAATTTAAGTGAGCAAGTTCCGGTCCAGTATTTTGTGACGCAATTGTAGGTCTTATTTTATAATTATTGTAAACTGGCTCTGTGATATGTCAAAGGGCAAATCTATTTTTATCGGACTGCCCAGTGGTCATCGTGCAAGGCGCACTGTAAATTCACACTCTAATGGACTTTGAATGATGACGGTTGGGTTTTATTGAGATAGGCCCTTTGTCATCCTCTGTTGTTTGGAAATTATAGTAAGTACCATCATGTTGTATATTGACTGTATTGTGAATAAGTAACTTTTTACAATTATTGTAATTGCATCCTCATCTAAAGATCGATGTTGAATTATATTTAACAGGCTCTGTTAAATTGTGAGTGAATCAATCTTTGTTAATTTTAATTTCATGTTGTTTGGAGTTCATGGTCATCTTTTACATTATTCAGAGGAGGTGTGTTGAAGTATATTTTTGATCATTATAATTGTTTCCTAAATTCTGGTGAAAGTTAACTATTTGTTATCTTTGCTAATTATTTAACATAATTTGTAGATCCGCTGTTTCGTTCTGTGGCCAGCTAAACCGTCATCCGCGGGTTGTGTCCCTTAAGCCCTCTTCCCTTTATGAAGAGGTAGGTTGTTGCCTTAACGTAGTGTGTATCGTAACTTATAACGTATGAGTTTCGGCTCTGTAATGTATGATAGTGACTGGGTTATTCAGTATTTTACTTAAGCAGTATTTGTATAGTGAAGTGTGTTTGTGTTGAGTGTGTTAACCGGTCGTGGTCGATCTGGACGAGTTCATAACTTGTTCAGGTAGTGTGAGTTTGAGAATTGGTTTTAATGTATTGTTATATTGTTGTTATAGGGTTTAATTGGGCATCCAGAATAAACCATTTGGTAATGAACTGCCGTCTTTGTGGTGCTTGTACGTTGCGACCCGGAGCAGAACAACTGCTACAAGATAACTTGTGTATATTTGTCCTCACAATAGCTACATTCATAATAAATAAAGACAATGTTTGAGGACGAAGGGATCACCCAGATTTTATAATATCATCAACACATTAAAGTGTAACTCTGACATGGTATTGTAACTCTCCAACCAATCCAGTATACTCTATGAGCTACAGTTAAGCATTCTTTACACTGCTAGCTTATTTTGATACTAAACGTCAATCACAGAACATTATATAAGATATAGTTTATAGATTACAGATTCCTTGGTCAGCACCAGAGACGTCTCTGGTCAGCACAGAACATATGATTAATCCTATAACCTTCCTCATATGAGTGGACAGTATAGTTAGTCTGGAGCCAAAATTAAAGCAATATTTAAGAATGAAAACATGATGTAAAAGTCTCAATGTTTCTGTCTGTTCCGATGGGACTGCGGGTACGTTTAGTTCTTCTTTGATCTTTATTTTGCAATGCACCTGCAATAGAAGACTAAAGTGTATTGCACAAAATACGTCTTCTAATCGAGACAAACAAAAAACCAGCAGAAACAAACGTGTTTACATGAAAAACAAACCTTCCACAACGGAACAAACTTTTCAAAGTTTGTTTACATCTTGAATTCCTAACTGCACGAGTAGCCATACCTACTTCACGATCTATAGCTCGCGATCGGCTGTCGCTCGCGTTTATCTACATGCTGCTAGCTTTAGCTGCCCGTATATCTAGGTCATGTCAACGTTCTAAGCTCGACAGAGTGATCAGTTCCAACATTCAATGGACCAGGTTTCAAAAAAAATTGAACACATGGATTTTTAAATACCATAGATCACAACAACGACAACAAATATTTTTATATGTATATTCCAACGTAGGAAAAGTTAAAATTCCTGTGTATTTTTAGATCAGAATGTGAAAGTAGAGATCGACTTTTCGAAGTCTACACTTCATATATCATTGTCGATACTTCTATACGTAGAATCATATCGATAATTATCATGTGTTTCTATGCATAAAGGACAAAAGAAGTATAATTAAATTGGAAATGGAGTACGTATACGCATATGATCTATGCATTTTGGTCCAATAGTATGGGAGCGTAATTCCACGTGACATTAATATATCGCTTCATTGAATTGGTTGAAGTCCGAAACACTCCGAATGCTAAATAATTTCGAGTTCTCTTGTGTTATCATTTAAATACGGTTGCAACGCTGCAAGCAGGTCTGAGCAAGTTCTGTGCTCATTTCATCACGTGTTGCAATACGTAGTTATGCTGTATAAATGATTTCACAACATATAATCTTAGCTCAGAACATTGACGACCATCAGCAATACAGGTTCGGAGAGAGTTAACATACAATGTATGCTTATTTCGATTCATCAAAAATACGTGTTATGCATGTATTTGATACAGTATCGTAAATAATTGACAAAACAATTCTGTTAAATTTGTCTGTAAAAAAAATCCCTGATATTTGATGAAAAATAATTTTTCTGTGTGTGTATTTTCTTTAACGATATACAAGTGCTCAGAATATAGCTCCTTATTACCACATATACTTAATTATATATACCTGAATGAATATTCTAAAAATAGTTTTTTTCCCATTGGTGGATATAAACGAATATTTCATAACCAACGTGCAATGTCTATATATATATATTGGAAATTATATTCTACACAGACGTTTAGAGGACGTAAGTAAGCAACATGCTCCAGAGAGACATGTGTTCCCCGAAAACAAGTACCCTTCCTTCATCTTCTACCACTCCCAGCCTGCCTCCTCCCCACGTGCAGGAAGATAAAACCCTGGTGGCTGCCACGCTTTTGGCCCTGGAGACGGGGGACTTAACTCCACTGATAAAGGAGGAACTCAAATATACTATACAATCTAGACGTGTATCGGCAGGCAAAAAGGAACTTCGAGTCGGCTTTAGGCAGCCTCAGACATATAAGGTAGGTATGATATAATCACTGTTAACTTGACAATTTATTAGGAATATCATTTATTTCGCCAGCTGTATTACATAAAAAGTCAAGTTATTCAATCCTTTTCAGTTCCTACTGTTGAAATTTCACATATAAGTTTTGTTTAAAAAGTAATCTTCGACATTAAGATAGAAAACATAATTATTATTGCAGGGAAATCTATTTAAATGAATGCAAGTTGTTTTTCCCTTTTCCTCAGTACTTATTGAAATGTTTGTGAACATTCTAAAACTTTTCTCAAGCAGAAAACTAGACTTAAGACGTAATTCTGAAAACCGTGTCACCCTAAAATAACGATGATAAAACCTGGTTTGTCATACCTGAACATAGACCCAAATTGTGACTCATATTAATTATTTTCTACGACAGTTGACGCCCGATGAAGTGATAAGGGTGGAGAGGAGAAGAGAACAAAATCGACTCGCAGCCCAGAAATTCCGACGAAAGCAGAAGAACGAGTCAGAGGTACATATTAAAGTAAGTAACTTCTGGTTCAGTATCAAATAAATCAGATACTTACCAAATGAAAGTGTTATTTAAATTACATTTTATAGTATACAGCCGTCAACTATACCGAACTTATAACAGTTAGTTACAAACAAATTAACTATAGACATTTCATTAATTTGAATTCAGCACTAAAGTTTCATATCGCTATGCTATGACGTACTTTGGTGGGGGTCTGCTCTGCAGATAGGGGGTAAGAATTGTACCTGCTGTCCCCATGGCATGATCGTAAGAGTCGACTAAACCTTTGATATTCATACTTTTATCTCTTTCCTAATATTCTTCCTTTTTTCAATTTAATCCGGAGAGTATACTTTCATGGGTGTTTGTGAATTTGATTTTCAAGTCTTTTAATTGACCAAATCGTCAATTTACTGAATTACTCTTGTATCGATGGAAGTAAAGAAATATTTTTTAACACTTGTCATATCAACCATCAGGTAGATGAACCACGATTGAGTCCAATTAGTCTGATTGTGTTCCTAGTAAAACTTAGACAATCTGTTATTTCTTGGTAAGAAATGTGGCAATATTCATAAGATATCACTGTGTGAACAAAATTAATCATACCTTTAAAATTAACATATTTTTAGCGGATACAGAAACTTGAAACAGCGAACACAAAGCTACGGGAGGAACTTCGATGTCTAAGGGAGGAACAAAGTCAGCTCTTCTATCGCTGGACGTCACATGTGTCCGTTTGTCCAGCAAGACTGGACAACCACGGACCCGATACCAACGCATACGTCCTCGGACACGGTACCCCCGGGGTCGACGTCACCTGATTTTGGACATGTGCTTCATCTCAATGGATAATATGTCTTATAAGACGAAAAAAAAATCCAAGAAAACCGTGAAGTGATGGACGGATCTCATCCTCAGTAAAGCATTTAGTTTAAAGGGCGTGACCATCAAGCATCTGTCCAGAACTTGTTTAGTTGACTGAAATAGACCAGTTTCATCAAACGCATGATTTCATCCTAGGAGGTCTCATCAGGTTGTGAAGTGACTATAGAAATATCTATAGATAAAATCTGATCACGTGTAACATTAGTGCTACTAACCAGTCTTCTTCGGTATATCTAAAACACCCACGCGTTAGTGATAATTATGATGTTTGTGATATACACGACTCTATGTCAACATTTGTATCAATCATGTGATATCAAAAGTATCCAAAGTGATAAATACACATTGTTTCAGAAATTGTGATACATGTTATTGTTATTTCCCATGTCACCATCAATATACGACCAATAAAACAGTGTCAGATGCTATCAGGATTATCTTTTCTAGTTTTTGTTCATGTTTGTTGCATAAATCACGTGTCTATAGAAAGACTAGAATATTGTGGTTAAAGATCTAGTATACATTTTATTTTTATCAGGTTTATATTTAGCGTACAATTAACAACGTAAAAACGATCGTTAAGTATAGTGGTTGAATCACATAACACTTGCAAGGATTTTATCTTTATTGACAGTGTAATAAAGAAACACTCATTGACTTCACGCCAGGTACAAAACAACAAATTATCAATTATGATAGACTTTTAGAACCCTTTGTGAAGTACCAACGACGCGATAAAACATCTTAATCGCTATTCAAACTCAAAACAGCTGACTCTTTAGCAAAACATGACTTGGAAAAGAGAGACCAGCAAAGTTTCGGAAAAGTCTTCATCGATGACAACTACCATGTTAATTTCTGACCTCTTTGAGTCAAAAGCGCCAACATCTGTCCACCGGTCCGTGAAAAGATCTACCTTACTTTGTTAGTGAATAATATTGTTTTGCTTGTCCGCTTGTGAAATCTCCTTTTCCAAGAAGCAAAAAACGGGTAGCTGTCATCCTGTCAAAGACATTCAATAAACAATTCAAAAGAACATTTATCCATAAGAAATAACAGCAGTTTATTGACTTGTGGTCAACATGGTATATCATTCATAGAAGAATGCAGTTAAATACTTTGTATTCAGCGCCTTCAAATAACATGTTATGGTGTTCTCTAAGAATACAGCGTTCGTTGTCATTCATACATAAATGAGGAAAAACAAATAAATTATCACAAAGACTCTTTGTTCTACTCTTTGTGTATCGATCTTCTCGCCAAAAAACAATTCAAGGGAGGTAACTCCCACTATGCAACATTTTGCAGAATAACACACACAACAAACTTTGGATTTTTCAGGAACAATGAAAGTTTGCCCACGCACTAAATTTACTAAAAGTGAGTGGTATTTGTAGCACATTGAGTGACTACCTATGAAATAAGATTAAAAAGTTCAAAAGGTCCATTGAGCCAATGCTACGACACATTAAGTGTCGTAACCATAGAGTGTAACAATGTTCAGTTTTTCATCTGGAAAAAAAGTAGTAAAATCATAGCGTATATTAGCAATTGAACTGAAAGCATGTACTTCCAGTTTAAGTGCACCAAAATTTTTTATATACTATTTGGCCCTTTATCTCAAGAACATTTGGTGAAAATTCCAGGAAAATGGAGAACCGGTAAAGGTGTCATTTAGAAGCCAAAAGATTACAATTTCAATTTTAGTGAATTTTGTTGGGGTTCGACAGGTCAGTATTTCCTCAAAAATCTGTTAAAACAATAGTGTACATAGTCATAGGATGTCAGTTTTGAATAAGTAGATTCTGCTGGAAGTTTTCACGTCAAATATAACTATAAATATTGCTAATGGTAAGAATTAACAATCTCTAACTTGATAGAAAGATTGAATGAATGTCACGCACTTCAGAACTCACCATGTAGGTGTCACTATGTGTTTGTGGCAGGAAATCTATATTATTTTATCTATAGTAACCGAATCCTTAATATAAGTTGTCAAGTGGATCCCTTTGAGTTAGTAGTAGGATTGATGATTATGGTTGTCATGGTTGGATATGTTATGTACTGTCTGGCCATAAGAGATAGCATAAATACATACAAATTCTGTGGTCCGGTACCTTCGAGTAGATATTCAACAAGGACCTTGTTTTTGCGTGTACATGTGATAATGATACTTGTACTAATGTTTGGCCAAAATTGCTAAAGGGACAATTTTGTTTGACTGCCCATGATGTTCTAAGGTCGTAAAATTTGACATAAATGAGGTTGTGGCCATTTAATTCCATTATCTGATTTGGCTGTATTCTCTTATGAAAAGATTTCTTAAAGTAAAAAGAGGACTAATGGTCTTAATGGTCTCCGGAGTTACTATTGTTGTTCTTAACATGTCATACATAACACGGATTGCATTGTACGTGTAATGTAAATATAAACTGCACACAGTATTGTACATGGAATCTAATTATGCCTACAATAAGTGCCTAGACAAATAGTTAAGTCTTGCTGATGTCAGTCATACCCTATACCCTCTAGCCGGACAAAAGGTGATCATATTAGGACAGCCATGAAACCTTCCCTCAAATGATCATAAAGTGTCCTCCTACAGGGTTTGGTCGCCGGGTAAGTCGTGCCACGACGAGTCTGGTCTCGGCGTACAATTATCTCTTGTTCTACGTTCATGGTGCTCACCCTTTGATGAGGCACAGGAACTTAGGTCAGTATTACTTTGTTGCATCCTCTAACACACCGCGTAAGGTCAGATATGAGTTTTCTGATCCAAAATGTCCTGGGAATCTGGCTAAGGAAAAAGGCCATTAACCTGTATTCCGGAAACTGGCCGAAACCTGTTGTAATGCCTGGGACGTGCTTGTATGATTCTATAGTCAAACACAAATAAATGCATAAATAGTGATTGATAAATGTTCATTTTTGAGCATTAGACAAGAATACAAAGATAACTGATCATATTAAATGAGGAATTATCTCCAATCATTCCTGTGTACCTAAGCAGTACTGCTATGATGTTTACGCAACAAATCTGAGTTGTATTCTATAGCTTTTTGCTCCTTTGGAAATCCTCCTTCTTTGGCATACCGTAAAGCTTTGATGGCGAGTTTGATGGCTTCACTGTAATTTGTGTTGTCTTTCACATATTCTAACCGAGACCTAACGGCGTAATACACCATCTTAGCCCGAAGTTCCATCCTTTCCCACAAAAAGGGGCGGTATATCTCTTTTAATAGTTTTTCCGTCTCTTGTATGTCGGATTCTGTGACCTGGCCTTCGCCGATAACATTAAGAAACACACCCATATCAAGCCACATATGTGCCTTCTTCAGCAGAAATATCCTCTTAAAGTCATTACTGACGGTGTCTGATTCTGTGCTGAAATGTGTGATAACACTGTTTCCCAGTTTCGACAGTTCGTTTTTGTCAATGCTCGTTCTGTCGCGTTCATGTCTCAGCAATAAAAAATTAAACTTGATGTAAAGCACAAGTCCTGTCTCTCTACATGCCGGAAGGAGTTCCATCTTGTGTTCAGCGTCCTCTATATAAGTAAGACCGTCTTCTAACGTTCCCCCTGCCATCACTAGAGCGGAGGAGTACCGCGCTAAATATAGTACATCAGGCGCTGTGGGACAAGATGTGTGAGCTGACATCAGTTGTACCTTGTCCAGTATGTCGCCTTCTAAATTTATTTTTTCATAAAATACTCGCCGCCGTTCAATTTCCGCATCATAAGCGGCGTGACAAAAGTCGGCTGCTCGTTGTCGTTGCTGGTCATTGTATCTCGTCCTGTTGCGATTTATATGATTCCAGTCATTAATGGCCTTTTCGTAGTGTTTCTGGAATGTTGCAAAATCCTTTTCGTGCGAACATCGTTTCATTTTATGCCGAAATTCTCCAACCTGTTTCCTTCGCTCCGTAAAAAGGTCTATCTTTCTTTGTTGCTGAATACCATCGTTTAGCTTGTCCGCTTGTGAAAGCTCCTTTTCCAAGTCATCAGCTAAAAATGGGTAGCTGTCATCGTGCCTAAGACATTCAACAAATAATTCAAAAGAACAATTGTCCTTCAAAAATAATAGCAGTTTCTTGACGCGTTCTGGTCGGCATGGTATATCATCAAGATAATTTTCCTCGAATACTATTTCTCTTTCAAACAGGAAAGGGATCATAAACGTTGTATCCAATGTTTTGAGCAAGTCGGTATGGTGTTTCCTAAGGATACGCCGCTCGATATCATTCATACCTAAATTGAGAAAAAAATTCATCTTAAGTACTTTTAAAGAAATGGAATAACTGTTTCTCTAATTGCGTTTGCTAGCGGACTAGCTAACCATGTCAGCAGCTAATAATTTTTTAGTTCGGACCTTTCTCCTTTGTATTAACAAGATTCCTACGGTCACAACAATCTTCATAATAATCGTCTTTTTGAACATAAAGCCTTTATCATTTTACTGCCAAAACGAGATTACTGTCGTACTATTGTTCCTATTTTTACAGTATGTTGCCTTTGATAATCAGTAACAATATCAGTCATACTTACTGATTTTGTTGTCGTTATATTGTTATGTAAGAAAATATCATTTGGTACAGTGACAACTATTACATTATTTATCTAATTTGGCAAACATTCGAACATGGGCATATTTGGAACGAAGCCAGTTCATTGATCAGTGTTGTGTTCAATGAGTTGTTGTGATTAATAACCAGATAATCTCATTATCAGTTAGATTAGAGCATAACAAAAAATTAGAGTTAACAGGACACGCAAGGCCTATGAATTATGTGAATACCATTAAACGATTTATGACAAAAGAGAACAAAATTTTGAGACGAAGTCCTATCAAGCCCATTTTTAAAATATCAGTATGTGTATCTTTTAATCATAATTTACTCTGAACGTTTTGATGAAAGAAAAACTTGTTAAATATGTAACAGTAGCATATAATTGTAAATGCATTGTATATAAATAGAAGGATATATTTCCATTACATGATCAATGCGAAATGACTGAAAGTCGATAATATGAGGCTTAACATTAAGGAAAGATATTTGGCAATACTTCCTTCGGAAAGGTCTCAGGAAAATTAAACTGTTTTCCTCTATAAGATTATCCTCTATTTCGACATCGAGTGACATATGTATTTTCATTATGTACAAAATATTGCTCTGTTCTAGGTCACAAATTCAGATGTAACATCAACATACCAGTAGCCAATAGATTAAATAGTGAAAGGAACAATTAAGTAAGGATGATACACTTTGGATTAGACAGTCGACTCGGTCTGATCAATAGTAATGCTGTACTGTATTTTAGTATATCTCGGATAAGACAGTCGACTCGGTCTGATCAATAGTAATGCTGTACTGTATTTTACTATATCTCGGATAAGACAGTCGACTCGGTCTGATCAATAGTAATGCTGTACTGTATTTTACTATATCTCGGACAAGACAGTCGACTCGGTCTGATCAATAGTAATGCTGTACTGTATTTTACTATATCTCGGACAAGACAGTCGACTCGGTCTGATCAATAGTAATGCTGTACTGTATTTTACTATATCTCGGACAAGACAGTCGACTCGGTCTGATCAATAGTAATGCTGTACTGTATTTTACTATATCTCGGACAAGACAGTCGACTCGGTCTGATCAATAGTAATGCTGTACTGTATTTTACTATATCTCGGACAAGACAGTCGACTCGGTCTGATCAATAGTAATGCTGTACTGTATTTTACTATATCTCGGACAAGACAGTCGACTCGGTCTGATCAATAGTAATGCTGTACTGTATTTTACTATATCTCGGACAAGACAGTCGACTCGGTCTGATCAATAGTAATGCTGTACTGTATTTTACTATATCTCGGACAAGACAGTCGACTCGGTCTGATCAATAGTAATGCTGTACTGTATTTTACTATATCTCGGACAAGACAGTCGACTCGGTCTGATCAATAGTAATGCTGTACTGTATTTTACTATATCTCGGACTAAACAGTCAACTCAGTCTGATCAATAGTAATGCTGTACTGTATTTTAGTATATCTCGGACAAGACAGTCGACTCGGTCTGATCAATAGTAATGCTGTACTGTATTTTACTATATCTCGGACTAGACAGTCGACTCGGTCTGATCAATAGTAATGCTGTACTGTATTTTACTATATCTCGGATAAGACAGTCGACTCGGTCTGATCAATAGTAATGCTGTACTGTATTTTACTATATCTCGGACAAGGCAGTCGACTCGGTCTGATCAATAGTAATGCTGTACTGTATTTTACTATATCTCGGATAAGACAGTCGACTCGGTCTGATCAATAGTAATGCTGCACTGTATTTTACTATATCTCGGATAAGACAGTCGACGCGGACTGATCAATTGTAATGCTGTACTGTATTTTACTATATCTCGGATTAGACAGTTGACTCGGTCTGATCAATAGTAATGCTGTATTTTACTTTTAGGTATGGTACTTACTTGGTAAATCAGGGGTGTTAGTGATATCATTTATCCCATTAATACTTTTACAACACAGGTGATCCGTAATCTTCAGATCTTCATATAATACAAGAGCCAGTGAGCAGTTTGCAGTCTTCCTGCTGATCGTATCGAACAACTGCTTTAACTGTATGCTTTACAAGTCAAATTACTTGACATTTGCACAATGATTGGGTTGCAATGCTTAACTGATCTGACGGGTTGTATACCAACATAACTAACTTAGAACCAGAGATACTTCCCTATGTCAAGATTTCCTTCATAAATATTGGCGTATTTCGACAGGTTGATCACACTACCTTCAACACGCTGAGACAGTATGAAAATTCCATCGGAGTACACGAAATACTATGAGTGTTTACTGCTATACTTACTTTAGTTTCTATGGCCTCGTGTTCATATCCCGCAGCTTTGTTTGCATGATTTCCGACTCGCATGGTGCCTTGGACTTACTCCAAGACAAAAGTTCCATCCTATTTCTCAAATGGCATTGATTTCCTTCATCGTATACTTTTCTCTTTCAAGTCGTCATTTGTCGTGTCTTATTCTTATCTGCCGTGTGATATATTGTCGCATCAAATTTTCGACATCCGTCAATTCATCGTGTTCCCTATCTCTTTATGCAGGGTAGAGTTCCTTCTTTTATCAGCGTCTTCAGAATTGTTAAGACTGTCCTATAGATTTTCTGTGGTGTTTACAAGTGCAGATGAATACCATCTCAATGACATAACATTCGGGTCTATAGGACATCATAATGTGTCAACTGCATGATCGAGTCTATAGGACATAATGCGTCGACGGAAACAACCGGGTTTATAGCAGATGTGTCAACGACGACATCTTGGTATATAGGACATAATGTGTCCACGGCATCATCCAGGGTCTATAGGACATAATTTGTCGACGGCACCAGTTAAATGCAAATTTTCTTTCCACGAGTCACATTTACACTTTCACGGTGTTGTTGATTTTAATTCGTCCCACTGTATGTAATTCAGGTAACTTCTTCAGACAAACATCAAGTAGCATGTTCCAGATACAAACCCCAGCATCACCAAAACTAGAAAAACAAAACAAGAACACATTAAGAAATTTGTTTTTAAGTAGCACTGATAATAAATTAAATTGACCCTTTCTCTCATATCTATAATAGTACACGTACATGTGTGGTGTGCTTTTTCAGGAATCTCCGTGTAAATATTTTTGTTCATCGTTTGCCCCAGTTTGATTAAACTGAGTTTTGATTATAATTACTTTCGTGTGTTCGGATTTTCTTGTTGTTTTGATTAATTCTCATTTGAAATAAAAACACACAATAAAGCAAAAAATACATTTTGACAAGTTTTAAAGTAAAAACGTGGAGAACCAAAAACAACCAAAGTCAGCCATTTTGTTGATTCATTTTCAATTTATGACACGATGTCCGTATTACAATCGATTACAAGCGCTGCCAATGAAAACACTATCAGGTTATATTACACTTGTGACACGTAAATATATAAGGTGGACGAATTGACTGGATGAAAAGCCGATTAGGTAATCGATATTGTAGCTAAATGTAAATGACTACTTGGCTTGCCTTAAAACTTTCACGTAAATACACATGTACACGTCAAGCGTTTCATTTCATCTTGATATAATAAACAAATATAATCCACGTCTTCATGTTATCAACAAAGTGGGTTTTCTAACGTCTTCTCCATAATACCACATCAGCAGAAATGCTTATTACTTAATTAAAACATTTTCGAAGTAATGAAAAACGATATACATGTGTTCATATTTTCCAAAACCTGTTAGTAGTGTCAAAAGGTCGTCAATGTTCATAATTACAAAAAAAACAACAACATTTGAATATCGAGTTAAACCTGGTGATGCAATAACCGAAATGTGATATTCTGTTCAAGTAAGAACGTTATGATCACCTGAACTGAAACCGTGTGTTTCAAATATATACGATAAATCATACTCACAATAATGATGGGAGTGCCAGAACTCACGAGGGAATCAATAGGCTGTAGTCGGGATGTATGGGGAACTCCAAAAAAATATTTACGTCACAGAACACGTTTCTCGCTAAAACCGGAACTGGAAGAGACAGTTATCAACACCAGTGTTACTGATTTACTCTACTCCCTAATAACTTATGAAATTAATGTGATATTCCATGTCTACAAGAATTCAACTATAGCCACATCGTGATAACGTCAATCACTGCACTAGCTAGCCTGTAACAGACAAGTGCATTACCAGTGACTAACTAGTATCTCCCACGCATGTGTATTTTCACTCGATCTTTGAGCTTCAGCGCACATGTGTACATTGTTCTATTTTTAGATACGAGAAGCCTATCTGAATGTAAATGAAAAAAAAAAGACGCAAGCTCCCGAATCTATGAAGACCTGCTCTTACAGGGAAGCTATTCAAAGGTGTTCAATTTCAAATAGTTTTATAACATTAACCTTCACATCGCACGTGAAGTTCTCGGACCTCTGGGCCGGGAGTAACGATGCACATTGGGGGAATTAGAGCAAATTCTTAAACATCCTTCTGCTGTAGGAATACATGTGTCCTATCCCAATTTAGCACGAAGCATCCTTGGTGAAGAGGGAATCATTTTTTGTATAAACCGTAGGTCTCGGCCACCTGAAGCGGGTGGGGCGGGGTCCAATAGAGGGACAGAAGTGAGAATACCATTTCAATCTGAAGTTTTCTTGGGTGAAGGTGAATCAATTCTGTATCATGATATAGTAAGTCTCGGTAGTTGTGGAGTCCAGAAGGTGAAAAAGAGAATAAAATTAAAATCCTGTTTATTCTCTCGGGAGTGAATGCGCTTTGTTGTTCAGAAGTACGGTAGTGGTATGGGGAACCAATGTTGTGAGAATGCCTTGTAGTAATTGGATTTTACTTTAATGCTTTAAACGATAAGAAACTGAATGGTGAAATTCCAGACCACTGTCTTTAGGATTTATTTATTGATTTATTTATTCAACAATTGTAAGACAAATAGGACAAAACTTGGGGTCAGGAGGAACGTGCACTAGCGCCATAATTTAAAAAAAAATGTTATGATTTTATTGAACGTCAAAACGTGCATATTCTTAACCGTGCGACGATATTTGAATTAATTAAAACATGACATGCAGGTTGCAACAAAATTCGGGTTCTCCGCAAAAGGGACCGTCCCTACCATCTCCAAAATTGTATAAAATACACACAAATTTAAATTTAGATACAGCATGGCCAAAATAATGAAGTATACTTAATTCATCATACAGCTTTTCCGTCCTTCAATGACCCGTCATTGATATTGACCTTTAGGGCCAAACTGTGAAATTAAAGGGGTTTTTTGGCGACTGAAGAAAATCGAAGGCGATTAAAAATATCGAACTCTAAATACGGAGTTGCGCTAGACATATAATTCAATAAATTATGTCCATACGTCTGGTAATTCACGAAGAATATCAAGTACACGTGAATCGTGCCATTATTCCAATTAGCGATAAATACTTATATGACGTCCGTTTTAACCGGAAATCTAATTTCTAATTTCAATATTTACGTGTGGTACACTGAAGCAATCATTGTGAGCAAGAGGGAGAAATTACATTTCGTAGTAACTGGTATGATTAGTAGATTGTAACCTATGTTTTTCGGTACCAATGGATAGCCTCCCTTCAAAGAGCTCTCATATTTCGCATTCCAAACTTGTTTGTTTCTAAGTGAAAACTATCATACAGACGATGTGCCGTAGATGATTTTGTGAGCTTATCGACCAAGATCTACTGAAAATGAAGGTTGAACGCTACATACATAATCTTTTTACATATATTAGTGATCATAGACTGTATGTGTAATTATTTCAGGGGTTCATTTTTTTGCGATTCCTTCAAAAACTGCACGAACCAGGGCCGAAAGGGGGACACGGGTCACTATCACCGTCTGGAAACATGGGAAGCATTTCTTGAAGGATGATTTCGCAAATGTTCTTGCTTGTTTTTGTCATAATCACCGAAAAAAATATGATAGAAGTAGTTCATTAAACACATTTTGTGTCAATCTTTCTCGATTTTTTTTTCGATATTAACAGGTGTCTAGTAGGGACGTATACTATATAGAAAAGTACGTTATTTTTTAAAATTGTACTCTATAAAGCCCCATTTTAAAACGTGGACGGCGATTTTGTGGACCAAATTACTATTAGTTATAATGAATTATAACATTTTATTAAGGTTATTATTTTCTTTTATCATGAAACCTCTTTCAATGTAACAGAAAAGGGCAGCCCACATTCTTGTCAAGTGCCCGGACTGAAATCGAACCCGGCACTCTCATATAATAATCAGTTATTTTACCGTGAATTTAGTCATAAGAAGCACGCTCTGACAGCTGAATGGCATTGAAAATAATCAGTAACAGTGATCATAATGAAAGAAAGTAATTTTGTAATTGTTTCTCATTGTTTTTTACATCCCTACATACACAGCAATATAACGGATATAGAAGTCATTATTTATTTCAATGCCTCAGGATAAACAGCCCTAAAATTTGAGATAAAGAGAGCATCTCTTTAGTATAGTTGGTTTGAAGTGGTAAGTATTTCACTGGTGACACGTTGTACCATTGAAGCTCAGGACTTTTGTTTTTATTACTTTTCACAAGTATTTTTGAGCTAGATGTAGTTGTACTTGTATGACCAAATACTGTTTTAGAGGTGTCTAGAAACACCAAAAATGTTATTACTGTAAAAATTTTTTTTTTTCTTTATATGAGGTCACAGTGACTTAAAAAGTAATTTACTCATTGTCAGCACCTTGGATTGAATTTTCTGATAATTGCAATTTTATTTGTATTTTTCAGCGTGTGTTCAGTCTCACCAGTAAATCCTTTGGTGGCCAAGGTACCATACATTATTGTTGGCAGAAAACATTGGGCAACTACCTTGCTGTTGTTGGGTAAGTCAGTGATCAAAGGCAACTACCTCGCTGATGTTTGGTCAGTCAGTAGTCACAGAGAACTACCTAGCTGATGTTTTGTAAGTCAGGAGTCACAGACAACTACCTAGCTGATGTTTTGTAAGTCAGGAGTCACAGAGAACTACCTGGCTGATGTTTTGTAAGTCAGGAGTCAAAGAGAACTACCTAGCTGATGTTTTGTAAGTCAGGAGTCACAGGCAAATACCTGGCTGATGTTTTGTAATTCAGGACTCACAGGGAACTACCTAGCTGATGGTTGGTAAGTTAGGAGTCACAGGGAACTACCCAGTTACTGTTTGGTAAGTCAGGAGTCACAGGGAACTACCTAGTTACTGTTTGGTAAGTCAGGAGTCACAGGGAACTACCTAGTTACTTTTTGGTAAGTCAGTAACAGCAGGCAATTAGCTAGGTGTTCTTTGGTAAGTCAGTAACAATAGGCAACTAGTTAGGTGTTCTTTGGTAAGTCAGTAACAGCAGGCAACTAGCTAGGTGTTCTTTGGTAAGTCAGTAACAGCAGGCAATTTGGTAAGACAGTAACAATAGGCAACTAGCTAGGTGTTGTCAGGTAAATCAGTAATCAGTCTGTTTATGGTTATTGACATAATTTGTAGCTGATTTCTGGGAAGAAATTAATATTATTGTGTCAGTATACAAATGTTAGATCAATTGATTTGAATTATATGTGATTTTGTTTCAGACATGATCATGTGTTGAGAATATATGATCGACATGGAGATCTGAAGGAAGAGTTTAATTTGCCTGGGTGAGTACCTTTATGTAGGTCTGATAATGGCCTTCTTGTAAGTAAGTTCTGTTGTTACTTTGTATATATTAAGCCTGGACAAACATGATTATGTCATCTCATTGTTAATTAAATAATTTGGAGTATAGGTCAGTGTAATGTTTTGATAAACAGATTGTGATTGTATTTATTTACTAGTTCTTATTCTGATACTTGTAATAAGAGTATCTTGATCATCCTATTTTAATTTATTTTACAAATGTTTACATAACTATTTCAGGGCCTGTACTGGTATTGGTTGGGATAAGGATGGGGATACTTTGGCTGTCATCAATGACAAGAATGGAGTCATCATACTTTGGGATGCTAACACCCAGAGGACATCTCCCATTGACAGTGGTCTGAGGTAAGAGTCATACAAACCTGTATTTCCTTAGTCATTATAGATTACGTGGGACACACATTCTTATTTGCTTTTAAAACAGGTCTTTCAATTTCCATTTTTTGTCAAAAGGGTTCCCACAAATAATCTTTTGAATCCAGACTTTGATGAAATTGCTTCACCTGGTGTGAAAGGGTTGCTTCTTACATACCTGTACAATAATTGGTATCCATTTGTTCATCAGTTAATATTATCGTACAATTTTTTTACTTTGTAATAAAGCTCTCTCTTTATGTCAGGGTGAGAGGTCCAAGTGAAAATTATTAGTGTTCATGGGCCTTTTGTTTCATTTGGAACTGACTATATACAAGTATACATGTACAATTATTGATGATTGATCAGTTCAGATCTGTCTAAGAGACTCCTTTATTTATATCTTGAAGTAAACAGTAATGTCTGGTAATGGAAGGCTGCTACAGTTCTAATCCATTTTAAGTTTTAATTTCATTACTGAAGTCAACATGCTTTTAACTGTGAAAAAAGGAGTTTAGGAATAATGAACATGTATTTCTGTTTTCTGTAGAGATAGTCTGACTTACATGCTGTGGGCAAAAGCTGGGCCCTACCTAGCTATTGGCACATCCAAAGGGAACTTACTTATCTACAATCATCAGACATCAAGGTAAGTTCTATGTGTTCACATGTTAAATGAGTACAGCCATCATATATAATGGCACCTACAGATATACTTCATACCAAATGACATACAACATGGAGTATCAACATTTTGATTAACCAAAGAATCCAGATCTTCTGTGTCATTTGTATTTACTTTCCTGGATGGGGCTATGTTGAATACTGAAGATTAACCATTTCGGATTCCTTTTTGATCTGATTTATGACTGAAGACAACCAGGACTCCTTTTGGGAGTTTTTTTATTCCATAAAAAATAGTTAACATTTGATCATGTCTCTCTATCACTACAGGAAGGTGCCGGTTTTAGGAAAGCATACCAAGAGGATCACATGTGGGTCATGGAGTAATGAGAACTTACTAGCCCTTGGCAGTGATGACCGCACCATCACCATCAGTAACATAGAGGGGGATACCATCCGCCAGACTAATGTCAGGTCTGACCCACAGGAAGTCCAGTTCTCAGAGATGAAAGGAGATGAGCGGAGTCAGATTGGAGATAATACTGTAAGCCTAGAAGAACGTGTTGCTAGATTGGAAGTTCAGATTTGATAGAGTCAACATTTTTATAAAATTAATACACCACAAAGAAATACTTCCTACTTAATATGTAATATAAATATCCTGTAATATACAATCTTATTAATATGATATTACATTTCTGGTAAATTGTTTTTAATGTCTATACTATTTGAAAGTGAAACCTAGATAGACGTGATTAGTGGAATAAGCATTATACCCATGTTACAGGTGAGTGTTGTCATTGGTAAAAAGACACTGTTTCTGTACAACCTCAATGATCCTGAGAACCCCATAGAACTGGCCTTCCAACAGAGATATGGAAACATAATTTCCTATCGCTGGTAAGTATTGTGAACTGTTACATTTCACAATATCAAATAAACACATTTATTGTATCTGTTGTGATCTTGAGAAGGAGATTGCAGGATATGTTACTGCTGTTCTAGCTACCTTTCAGTGTGAAGAGAAAGCATTGTGGGTATATAATTTCTGTTTTGACACTGTCTGGTTGTGGGGAGTGAGAATTGTGGGTATATAATTGCTGTTTTGATGCTGTCTTGTTGTGGGGAGTGAGAATTGTGGGTATATAATTGCTGTTTTGATGCTGTCTGGTTGTGGGGAGTGAGAATTGTGGGTATATAATTGCTGTTTTGATGCTGTCTTGTTGTGGGGAGTGAGAATTGTGGGTATATAATTGCTGTTTTGATGCTGTCTGGTTGTGGGGAGTGAGAATTGTGGGTATATAATTGCTGTTTTGATGCTGTCTGGTTGTGGGGAGTGAGAATTGTGAGTATATAATTGTTGTTTTGTTGCTGTCTGGTTGTGGGGAGTAAGAATTGTGAGTATATAATTGTTGTTTTGACACTGTCTGGTTGTGGGGAGTAAGAATTGTGGGTATATAATAGCTGTTTTGACACTGTCTGGTTGTGGGGAGTGAGAATTGTGGGTATATTATTGCTGTTCTGATAACATTTTGTTGTGTTATTAACAGGTATGGAGATGGTTACATCATGATTGGCTTTTCCAATGGCTACTTTGTGGTCATCTCTACTCACATGAAGGAGATCGGACAGGTAAGATGAAGCTATATATCTACACTGTTACATGTCTACAGTATCCTGACATTGTATGTACCAACAAAGTACTGTGACCTTTAACTGGTACAGAGGGGTTGGCTGTCAAGATACAAGAATTCTACATTTATTCTCAGTATTTCAACTTTGACTTATATAACTTAATTGGTTCTTTGAAGAGTGCTATGTAACATTGTAAGAAAACCTATTTGTTTGTAGGTAAAAATCTCTGCAGTGAAAAGAATTTAAAATTCAGTGTCATTTTGTTACTGATGGCAAATCTTGTTTTTTGTATAACTTGGATATCTAATAGATTTCTGATGGAGATAGAAAATCTTCTTCTTGATAGTGGTAAATTTCATATGATATTATGGATGTGTCAAACTTAGTAAGTGTTAATGTATACTACAGGAGCTGTTTCAAGCTCGGAACCACAAGGACAACTTAACATGTATTGCCATCTCCAATTCTCTCAACAAGGCTGCATCATGTGGAGATAACTGGTGAGTTACACAAATATTTTGAAAATCTCAATTTCACAAGATTTGCACTATTTACATCCTTGTGCTTCTCATCTGCTTGATATTGTATGACTGAAAAACAATCTTCTGCTAAAGGAAAGTAATTGTTTTCAGATTTTTATAGGTGAGTCCTGAAGACAAATTCAAAATTTTGATGAGTCCCAATGCTAGGAGATATAATTTGTTCAGAACTCAAATATTTGAGTCCCAGAAATCACTGAAGGAGAAATACTTTTTTATCTATTTAAGTATCAAGATTCATGACCTGTCGGATCTCAAGGAGATGTTTGCTATCATCAACATGGACGATGAGCGAGGTCTGGATAAACTCAACTGGACAGATGATGGTCAGTTATTGGCAGTGTCTACACAGAAAGGGAACCTCCACGTCTATCTGACCAGACTTCCGATGTTGTCATCAGCGTCGTCCACCAGGATAGCCCACCTCACTTCCTTACTGGAAGTCACCATAGAAGACAATGTAGCTCAGGTATACCTAATGTTCAATTCAAAGTGATCATATGTACTTGAATCGGTTTTAAGTTCTAAAATAACTGTATTTGAAGAACATCTATTTTTCTGATGTAACAAAAATTATTTAATCTACATAAATTTTGCAGTCAGAGTTAAAAACAAAAAGTTCTAAATTTACAAAATATTAAAAATTTCACCAAACAACAAAATTAATTCTATCGATAAGTTTAAATACAAGCATTTGCAGTCAAGCTGCAAAAATGGTTGACAGAGGAATCATGGGAAAGGTTACCCTAAGGTCGCTATAATCAGTAGGGTCAGCTCAGACATGAACAAATTGAGCAAATTGGTGAGTGACATGCAGAACATACGGCCATTGTATTCGAACTGTAACACTTGCTGATATTCATAAATTAAGGGCCTCATTTACCCAGATTTCAAACTACTGTATAGATATTACTTACCCTGTAGATTATCGTAGTTATATTAGAGTTTACAGTAGCTCCTTCTGTATACATAACACACATGTTTGTCTGGAGGGGAGTCCCCATACTACATTATGTACTATGGTAGTGGAGTTGATTAGTGGAGTTCTGGAATATTCTAGTGTCAATGATAAAGATAGTGTTCAGACATTAAACAGGTATTTTCTGTATAATTTCTACTTTCATTTTATCACCATCAGGCACATGTATTAGTTTGATCCTTTGTCAGGTTTAAAATTGAAAATTAAATCTGTACAGTAGCATAATTCTGCCATTCAAATGAAGGCATGTCCCTTTAACCTAATATTTAGCAAATTTCTTGATAATGGCAACAAATAGAAAAACAATGTGGCATTGAAAATGATCTAGCCACATTTTATGTTCCTTACTTATTTTTGTTTAATTTAGAAATAAAATGTGTACTTTCTGTTTGTAGGACCCTCCATTGACTATTCCTATAGATGTGGAGCCATCCTTTCTAGGAATTGGGCCATACCACTTGGCGGTGGGGATGAACAATCGAGCATGGTTTTACCTCTTGGGAGACAATGGTAGGCATCCCTAGGGCAGACTCACCATTACAGAATATAGTAGTCTATTCAAGAAATCTTTATTAGCAATCATACTTAGGATCATTTTACTGATCAACATAAGTCCGTATGATATTCAAGTATTTAAATCTGCCTGTTACAGTAAGTGATTTTCTGGGAGACTTACAGGTACATTTTATGATATTGTGTTGTGTTGTAGGACTAGAGAAGCTAAAAGACCGTGAATACCTAGGGACTGTCGGCTACATCTGTCTCAATGCAGATTATGCTGCTGTCAGCTTCGAGGGCAGAGTCCAGCTTCACATGGTTTGTACACCAAGCCTATGGTCATACTGTGCCATTGTTTTTGCAACACCCTTCTCTACCTTCCCTCAACATAGTAAAGAGGGAAATAGGTCTGGGATAGGGCAGGACAGTGTTGTACTGGTTTATATGGGAGCTTTATACACATCTCAGTTTGTCTGGTTCATATAATTTGCATAATTTCAATTAAGATTTTAATCTTGTATCAGTATGCAATGTTTTGAGCAATGTTTTTGATGTATTATGATGGAAAAGGGTATAAGACCTGAGAAAATTACTAATAAATACTATCTGTGTTCAATCTCATTTATAATTAATGCATTAAATCATACTTATGTACTTACTATAATAGGCAATTAGTTTTTAATTGTGGCCAAAAAGAAGACTTTTCTTACTGTAACAGTTACTTTGGTTAGGTGGATGTTTCTGGAGTGTGTACGATCAATGAGACAATTACTACTGTATTCCAGATTGAGGGTGAGACTGCTGGGACTACAGATGAAAGAGAATCCAAGCTTTTCCCTGACATGGACCAACAGGATTCACGCATCACCTGTCACAGTATGACCCAAGATTTCCTTATCTACGGCACAGATGTGAGTTAGAGGCAGTGTTTGTACAAGGTTGTAATGGTGTTATTGAGGATATAAGTTTGAACCAAGTGGATGCTGTCAGTTCTCCTTAATGAAGACACCTTGCTTGGCAAGAAATGACTGATAGAAAAGATATTTTTTGTTAATAAATAATTTATTTAAGTAATAACAATGGTAATAGCAACTTTTGGCACAAAACAAGATATCTTTGGTGTGGAAAATAATAACATGATTACTACGTCACCAGGTGAACTTTGATGACTTTGTAATGGTTTTTCTAAGATGAAACTGGGACTAGAAACCTGGTGTGAGAAACAGTATTTAAGGTACATCATTGACCTGTTGTAAAATGTCCATGTTAGGTCTCTTTTCTTCATTTCTCAGAGATCCTAACTGTATCTTGTAAACAGACAGAATGTTTCGGTCACAGCTGGTGCAAGTTCATCAGAGGTCAGGACAGGATTTGGTACATGACCTGTTATCTCTCCATTTATGTTGCTTTCTAACTCCTCAGGTGTGAGAGAACACAGCTCATTTATTTGACTGGTCTTGTTTTGTATTAAGTGACTGAAGACCCTCCTCACTCCACTCAACACTGACCTGCGGGTCATGAGCCTTAACACCAGGCCACGATCTCCATTCAACTGGGCATTAAATATCTTTTTAGTGAGGGTTTCCAGCTGCATGTCTGTAGTGAAAAACAGAAATATTTTAGGAGGAACCAGATTTTACAGCAGAATACAAATCATATAAAAAGATGAAAAGTGTATTTAGAGTGAATGATATGAAACTAAACAATTTACATTTATATTGGTATATTTGTTAAATAAGGAAATGAAAGGAAACATCCATTTAGCTGCAGTTTATTCAGTTTTTGGAGAAAAACTTGAGGAATTCATGAGACTTATCATAAATACCATGTTTTTTTCATAATATTTTTGCCTAGATATCATCAAAAGACTGTCAATGTTTTATATTGATTGCATTCAGCCTTCTGTTGTTTCTCAGGTAGAGTGAATTTCCTTGACAAAGTATTCATGTTTGATTTGGATATTTACCATTTCTAATTCCTTGATGAAAACATCATTACAATTTTAAGATCAAGAGAGTATAGGTCCTGAACGAGGTAAAATTTTTATAATTTTTGTTGTTCACTTTGTCATTATGTTTTTATTATAACTATAATATGTAAAACACTGAACTAATAAATGAAGTTCTTTAAAATATGTCATAAAACATGTTAACATAATTTACATTGTAAAATATAGTACTTGTTTCCTCAGTATGATAGTGTTAGAGATAATTGAAAAAAAAAATTGAACAATGGATGACCTTTACATGTTTTTTAAACGGTAAAGTTAAACATCCATTTATAACAAATATAGATAATAACTTCCAACAGCATACAGAAGAGGATAATGTGAGACTTACCTATAAGATAGAGTTGTTTTGTGGAGTTCTTGTGTATTGTCATTAGTCTCTGTATGTCTGCCCCAAGGTTTCTATCTGAAGTTTTGTCCATGGTTAGTTAGAGATAGATGCAACACCAATGTGTGAAGTGTGTCCACTAATGGTCATCCCTAGGGGCTCCTTACTTATATACTCTACAGTGCCCATTGGTCAGTTTCAGCCACCTCTGAGATTGGTCTGTTGTTGGTTATCTCTGAGATCAAAGGATCCATGTTAAGGGATGATCATGTATTGTGTTTTGTGTGAGAGGTTCAAAAGCTCCTCAGTGATCAATTGTCTTCTTATCTCAGAGATTTCTTTCCTATTTTCAGACTTCAAAGACAGTATTTTTCACACCTGTTGTCTAATAATTTCTTATCTTCAGTTGAACATCCTCCTATTGAATTGATTTGCTAGACCATGTCTTCAGGCCATTGTTCATGGTGAGCCAAGGAAATAACCATCAGACCATGAACAGACATTTTCCTTTAATCATATAGTGATCAGTAGATTTGACTACTAAAATCACTAGACCGTGCCACTGGTAACCAGTGACCTGTGGCATATATAATGTAAGACCAGTGAACTGTGACATGACCATTTGTGTTGAGTGGTAGCCTGTTGTACTCCGGTGTTTAATTAGGTGTTATGTTCTCGGTAGAACAAGGAGATATGCATGACTGAATTCCCATGAATCCTATGGGGATTATGGATGGAATTAGTTTTTTTATGTGTGTATTTCGAAGAAGTGTCCTGTAAAATCAGTTTAAATCTCATTATTACATGTACATCCATTAGTGTAATTAATGATGAAGCCCAGAGATATTTTTTTTTATTTTAGCTACACTACAGAAATTTGACTTTGTGACGTAGCTCCTGACATAGTTTAGCAACCTTGAACATGATGTAGTCTGTACTATATGCATATGGACACATATGCTGAAGTTTATTCCAGTGATATTTTGCTTTATGATGTTATACAAACATTATCTTTACAGAATGGTGGTATCAACTATTTTTTCATTGAGGACTGGCAGATGGTGAATGAGTTTCGCCATGTTGTGGGTATACGCAGACTTTTCCCTGACCCCAGTGGCACCCGTGTCATCTTTGTTGATGACAAAAGTGATGGTTTTGTTTATAATCCTGTAAGTTTATGAACTGGATTATTTCTTATCAGTTGCCTTCCTGTATTGATTGCCGTGATGTATGAACTTTATAAATTGTAACAATTATTAATTAATAATGAAATCTGAAATTTTTCAGTCAGAGTTTTTGGTACAGAGGATTCTTTATATGGTATTATAACAATTCATATTATCTACAAAGTATTATTTAAATTGAAGCTGGAATATTTTATCTAAAAGTTTGAAGATGTAATTAATGGAAGTTAACTTCAACAGATTCAATCACTGTACAATGTATATGAGATATATATATTTAATTAGGTGAATGACCAGACACTGGAAATCCCGAAGTTTTCCCCAACGACCAAAGGCGCTTTGTGGGAGATGTGGACATCAGACAAGGTACACTGTTTACCCTAGTCTTTCCCCAGTTAACTCAAGAGTATTGTGTATAAGCTGGGTAACCTATGTTGTTGTCAGTACCATTTATAGCTTTGCAAATGCTACTTACCTTAGACTGCACTCAATAGATTCTTAGTCAGGGGTATTAAAAAGTAAAATATATTAGAGGAGCAGAGTATGATATGAAGCAGAGGAGACTATATGATGTACATTTAGATATCAGAATTTAAGTCTTCTAAAAACAGTCCTCAAATTAACATGAGCTGTATTTAGTGATCTGTTGGATTGCATCTAGACTTTCCTCAAAACATTTGGTTTTCATGTCCTTCTTCATTTCATATTTACAATACCTAGAAACAGTTGTGGTGTTGTACAACACACCAAAAACTTTGTGCACATATTGTGCATACATTGTATATATATGATAGGTTCACACCAGCTTGGTGTAACAGACAAAACACCTAAAATCTATCTGAGTATTAATTTTTTTTCTTGATCAAAGTTATTATTATGACATTCTTAATGGCCCATCAGCACATAAAAGGTCATTAGGGCCATCAACCAGTATCTTTACCAGATGATAGAAAAATCGGAGTAATACAGAAGTAATGAAATTTCAGTTGATTTATTACCAATACAAAAATGAGATATCCATTTAGTGTTTACATCAATTATATAGTGTGTATATTAACAGTAGTGAATGTCTGTTCAATAAGACTACTCACGTGTGTCAAATTGTTAAAAAAAGAAAAAAATCCCTCTTAATTGCAAGTGTATGGAAATATTAGTCCTGATGACGCTGGCATAGCGGCCGAAACATGTAGACAATTTCGACACAAAGTCTTTGTGTTGTGGAGTTTCAATTTTATTTATTATGTTAACTATTCAGTCTGTATCAGATAGATCTGCATGTGTCTGACCTATAAATATATGGTATAATTGTGAAATTTACTCAGCTGTACTTTTATACTTTGTACTTTATATAAACGATGAAAGAATCGCTTATCTGTATGATAAAACCACATATTGTGTGCACAGTTATGTGATAGCAGATTTCATCCACTTTTCATATCATTCTCACATGCATACAGTGTTTGCACATTGTACAGACATTGTGAACACTTTGTGCAGACATTGTGTGCACATTGTGGAGACATTGTGTGTATGTTTTGCAGACTTTGTGTTTGATCCCACAACTGTTTGATAGGTAACACCACCTAGATATGATACTGGCTAACAGGTTTATTGTAATGAAGATCTCATTCTATCAAACTTCGTAAGAAAAAACACAAATACAGATGGTAAATCATGTTCAGTATCAAAGTATAGACTTGAACCTTTGATTTGCAGGGAGTGTTTATCACCTATGATGAGGAGAAGATCTTCACCTATCTGTACTGTCGTGAGTCTGTACAAGGTAAACTTCAAATGTAACCTCTATTTTCAAGTTATTTTGTGAGTTTTATGGTATATTTAATCCTCAGCTTTTGACAGACATCATTATTACACTTATTAGTTTCCTTATCAATTTCTGCTTCCAAACTGAGCTGTAGGGATACCGCGGCATCTGGTGGGCATCGTCTGTCAAGTTTTACTATATATAGCAGCTGTTCATGAATGACTGAGCAGATTTTAAGCAAATTTGGTCTGAAGCAGTCTTGAGGAAGGTGGAACCAATTTTGAGAAAATCGTGGGTCTGACCCCCTTGGGGTCTGAGGGGCAATCAATCAGTTTCTTTATATTCTATCTTGTTCTTTAGGAATTCGAGGACATTGTATGAAGTATGCTTGGGTGAAGGAAAATCAGTTTTGTATAAATGGCCAGCAGGGGCTAGAGGGGCGGGGTGTGGCACAATAGGGAAAATCTATCAATTTCTTTAAAATCTAAGTGGCCTGACAGGGAAAATCTTAACCCCCCAAGTAGATTTAGTTATTTTCATGTCAGTGCTTTGCACCATCAACAATTCATTTGGATCTTTGAGACAGCTGTGATCCTCACTGTTTAACTATAACATTGCTTAGCATCAGGAGATAAACAAAATCATAACTGATAATTTGTCCTGGGGTTTGGTCCTACCGCAGGACAGATTATATCTTTGAAGCCATTGAGATTTCCACCCCATAACTTTATAGCATTGATCTCTGTCCCCACCCCCTGAGGGAATTTGTATCTGTCGGATGAGGCTCATCAGGAGAAATAGTTCCTTCTAAAGAAATGTAGTATTTTGCATTACTGACTTAAATATCCAGGTAAGTGATACATACTCTTAGGGCCTCTTGTTTTTAATGAGAAGCAAGGGAAGTGATTAAGGCTGTGGAAAACAGATGCTATTTAAACTGAAGTTCTTGTAACATTTATATATATGTACATTTGCTACTTCCCCCCTCGTGTTTCTTACAACAGATTTTAGTAAATACTGATAATCATCAGGTATTTCAGCAGAGTTCCTGTTATATCTAATTGATTCCCACTGCAGGTCCAAAGGTGGAGTATGCAGGTGAGACACGTCTGCCGTATGGCCAGGTGCCAATTTTGCTGTATAATGGGGAGATCACACTGCAGACAGAAAGTGGACGGCTTGGCACACTTCTTCTTGAAACACATGTAGCCCTGTTTTCTGAAAATTTGGAAGAAATGGATAAGGAAATGGTAAGACACACTGTGTGAAGTAGTGTTCTGTGGATGTCATAAAAAGTGTAAAGAAAAAAAATACCTGTAAAGAAAAACAACATTTGTAAAATAAAACAACACCTGTGAAGTAAAAGGTTAGCAATTGAGTGGTCTTAAGTTGTTCTTTTACCAATTGTAACACTTAATTTGATTTGGAAACAACATGGAAAGCTATAATAATCTGTATTTGTTCTTACAGATGAAATCAGCACTACATCAAGGGACTCTGTTGAGAAGGTAACTATATATCATTTTATTGAGATGTATAACAAAGAACTCATTGAGAGATTGTATAAACTAATTGTGAAAATTTTCAGTGAAATTTTTATATATATTGATTCTTAAGATATCAAAAAATCAATGGTTCGAAAATTACTTGTAGATTCAAAGATGCGTGGAACCTGTGTAACCATATGAATGACCTAGTATGTTGGTTAGAGCTTGGAAAGGGGGCGTTGTCCAGTCTGGAAGTGGACTTTGGTAAGTATGAGGCATCACCGTGGTTCCTGATGTAACACTTTAAACAAAAACAATTCGCCATTTTTTCACACAAATTAGTAGGTCCAGTAGAATTCGTGTGATGTAGTGTGTCTGGTAAGCCATAAGGCTTATTGATCAAATCCAAGGGGATTATTATAACCCAACAGTGGTATTACTGGTAAGCCATAAGGCTTATTGATCAAATCCAAGGGGATTATTATAACCCAACAGTGGTATTACTGGTAAGCCATAAGGCTTATTGATCAAATCCAAGGGGATTATTATAACCCAACAGTGGTATTACTGGTAAGCTATAAGGCTGATCATCAATATATATATCATAAATCACAACAGATATTTCCCATTACAAGATTGAAGGTATTAATTACTTGTTTGTTGTAGCTATGCGAGTGTACAGGGAGATAGGAGACGTCGGTATGGTCACTTCTCTCCAGCAGATCAAGGTAAATTTCACTTTTTTTATTCTCTGTTTTCATCACAGGAATGGTAGTACAAGCACACTTTGGAGTTAATGGAGTTAAAATATATTTTAACTTTACTGTGTATAGATACAGTGCAACATTCCCAAGCCGATCCTTCTTAAAACCGATCACCTCTTGAAACCAAACAAAATAGCACACCAATTTTATGTCCTTAATGATTGAAATATGCTGAAAATGCCTTCTGAACACGGGCCTTACCTGAATGATCAAGACCATAGTTACATCTAGTGGACCTTGAAATTAACACATGTGGTGACTGTTGTAAACTTTGCAGTCCTAGAGCATATGCCTGTCATGGGTAGGCTTTGTTCACAATACCAACAGTGATGGGAAGGATTATAATAAATATAATGTATAGTTATCAGCAATGATAAATTGAATTAATATCAGACAAGTCGACCATTTCACTGAAGTGAGAAACAGCTACTAAGCACTGATGCAGAGCCGCAATTTTCACTTCTAAAGCATGAGTAATTGAATGACGATATTTTAACACAAACCAGAAATAAAGGAAATATTAATCAAGTGTTGTTTTGGAAGATAAGGTCTTACACTGATCAACAAAAGCACAGATTCATCAAATATATCATTTAGTAACACTTTTGGACAGACTGACTGGGACTAAGTGGGTCCTATGTAAAGTTACGTTACTTCTGAGATCACCTGGCAATTCATAGATTTCTAGTTTTTTTTTTGACTGCAGCCACATACAGAATACAAGTATCACTTTTTTTTTCACTTTACTGAATATTCTTATGCTATAAAACTTTTCTCTGTATTCAGTTCCACATGTACAGAATAAATACTGGAAGCAAATGGAATTGTTAATATAATATACAGAACAGACCGGTCAACTTACTTCACTTTTGCAAACCAAGCCCTCCCTAAACCAGCCAAATAGTCATGTCCCATGCATGGTTGATTTGGAGAAGTTCCACTGTATTTTAATTTTATATATTTTTCCCATACGGCCTTGAGGGAGATAAACAATGAAGGATATGTGACTGCTCGACTTGGTATCCTCAAAACCTGGATACATAGAATACCTCTGTATATACAATGTACCTGTTTATTTTATTGTAAACATAGAGGACAGAAATTTACTGTCTGACTTGCTGTGTCATATATAAAAAGCCTGTGTATTTACATTTCCTGTCTATATGTTTTATTGTAGCACCTAGAAGACAGAAATTTACTGTCTGACTAGCTACTTCATACATAAAAAGTCTGTGTATTTACATTTCCTGTCTATGTGTTTTGTTGTAAACATAGAGGACAGAAATCTACTGTCTGACTAGCTACTTCATATATAAAAATCCTGTGTATTTACATTTCCTGTCTATATGTTTTATTGTAGCACCTAGAAGACAGAAATTTACTGTCTGACTAGCTACTTCATACATAAAAAGTCTGTGTATTTACATTTCCTGTCTATGTGTTTTGTTGTAAACATAGAGGACAGAAATTTACTGACTAGCTACTTCATACATAAAAAGCCTGTGTATTTACATCTCCTGTCTATGTGTTTTAGCACCTAGAGGACAGAAATCTACTGTCTGGTTATATTGCCATGTACCTAGCAGAGTTTAACCTTGCTCAGGATCTCTTTCTGGCCTCAGGAAAACCACTGGCAGCGTTAGAAGTGAGTCTATTTAACCTACATTGACAATGGTAAAGATATGATCCAGGAGCTGTTTTCATTTTTGTATACATCTTATTTAGTAGGTTTGGTAGATTAGACATATGTTTTTGTATATATATGAACACTTCATATTATGAAGTAGATTTACACATACCAGGTATTGACTGATTAGTAAAGCATTGTCATTACAATATACAATAAAAACTTAGTTAAAATATCTATTACAGTTTTAAGACATGTTTTATCATCATAATTGTTTTTAATAATAGCTTTCACATATTGATAGAGTCTTTATCTATATACTAATACCTATGCCTACACTGCTGGTAGATGCGACGAGACCTGCTACACTGGGACAGTGCCCTACAGCTAGCCAAGGCCCTAGCTCCTGAACAGATCCCCTACATCTCGCGCGAGTATGCCCAACAGTTAGAGTTCACTGGTGACTACATGAATGCCCTGTCTCACTATGAAAAAGGTGTGACACGACAAGAAAAGGATCGTGAACATGATGAGGTCTGTGCTGCAGGGATAGCTCGTATGTCCATCCGTATGGGAGATATTCGCAGGTACAGATGATTTGAAATGAAAATAGTAATTTGTTTTTCTTTTCCTGGAAATGCCACATTTGTGAAGTAACTAGAATGTAAATTATAAGATTAACCTTTTAACTAATTTTTATCTGTAATAAATACACCCTGCTTAAACTTGATGAAAACACCAAGAACCATGAATTGTTAATAATATATCATGAATATTTTTTATCAAATATGTTTTAATGATAAAGACAGGCTATTACATGTGTTAACGTTGATAAGAAAATGATCTTATAATACATGGAGATCGACTTTTGTGATGTTAAGATGATGTAGATATAAAGAGGAAACATGTTATTAGTCTGACATGAATCAACAAAACATTAAACGTAGGACATTATCGATGGTCTAGAAAGATTAATGTAAGTAACAGGTTCCAGTTTTCTTGTTGTTAAATAAGTGTTATACTGTTGTAGGGGAGTAAACATGGCCCTGAAGATGCCGAGTAGGATTCTGAAGAAAGAGTGTGCTACTATACTGGAGGGAATGAAGGTAAGGGTTCATTGTCCTCAGACTTAAACCAAAGGAAATGAAGGTAAGGGCTCATTGTCCTTAGAAATATACTGGCAAGAATGAAGGTAAGGGTTCATTGTCCTCAGACTTAAACCAAAGGAAATGAAGCTATTGGCTCATTGTCCCCAGACTTACACCAAAGGAAATGAAGGTATGGGCTTACTGTCCTCAGACTTAAACCAAAGGGAATGAAGTTAAGGCCATGTCCTCAGAATTTGGTTGAAATGACAAGTACTATTTCGTTATAAAACTGACGACTAAATGTATCATAATCAAAAACAGTTGGACCATCACAGACACAATCTTTTTCTGTGTAATGTATGATACTATGAAATTGCCATTGATGAAAAAACACTGTATGTAAATTATTGATATGAATGCTGTATATGGCATTTTAAAAGTCCAACTGAAGTTATTAGAAAACTGTGGTGAAAGAATATAAGATTGAAGTGTGCTTTCATTGTCAAGTCCCCGTTATTACTAAAAGCTCTTTGGGAATGTGTTATGCAGCATACTCACAGGAATATTTACCATAGTGATTTCAAGTTTTCAGGAATTGAGATATTCCAGTAAAACATCTACCCCATCCCATGACTCCAGGCTTCAATTTGTTTAGGGCTATTCCAGTAAAACATCCCACCCCAAGACTCCAGGCTTTGTTTAGGGCTATTCCAGTTAAATATCTAACCCACCCAGGACTCCAGTAAAACATCTATCCCACCCCAGGACTCCAGGTTTTGTTTAGCGCTATTCCAGTAAAACATCTATCTCACCCCATGACTCCAGGTTTTGTTTAGCACTATTCCAGTAAAACATCTATCTCACCCCATGACTCCAGGTTTTGTTTAGCGCTATTCCAGTAAAACATCTATCTCACCCCATGACTCCAAGCTTAAATTTGTTTAGGGCTATTCCAGTAAAACATCTATCTCACCCCATGACTCCAGGTTTTGTTTAGCGCTATTCCAGTAAAACATCTATCTCACCCCATGACTCCAAGCTTAAATTTGTTTAGGGCTATTCCAGTAAAACATCTATCTCACCCCATGACTCCAAGCTTAAATTTGTTTAGCGCTATTCCAGTAAAACATCTATCTCACCCCATGACTCCAGGTTTTGTTTAGCGCTATTCCAGTAAAACATCTATCTCACCCCATGACTCCAGGTTTTGTTTAGCACTATTCCAGTAAAACATCTATCTCACCCCATGACTCCAGGTTTTGTTTAGCGCTATTCCAGTAAAACATCTATCTCACCCCATGACTCCAAGCTTAAATTTGTTTAGGGCTATTCCAGTAAAACATCTATCTCACCCAGGACTCCAGGTTTTGTTTAGGGCTATTCCAGTAAAACATCTATCCCACCCCAGGACTCCATGTTTTGTTTAGGGCTATTCCAGTAAAACATCTATCCCACCCCAGGACTCCAGGTTTTGTTTAGGGCTATTCCAGTAAAACATCTATCCCACCCCAGGACTCCAGGTTTTGTTTAGGGCTATTCCAGTTAAACATCTATCCCACCCCAGGACTCCAGGTTTTGTTTAGGGCTATTCCAGTAAAACATCTATCCCACCCAAGGACTCCAGGTTTTGTTTAGGGCTATTCCAGTAAAACATCTATCTCACCCAGGACTCCAGGTTTTGTTTAGGGCTATTCCAGTAAAACATCTATCTCACCCAGGACTCTAGTAAAACATCTATCCCACCCCAGGACTCCAGACTTTGTCTAGTGGTATCAACCATAGAATTCAGTTGACAATTTACTTAGAATTTATCGACAGGAAATCAAGTCATTGATAGAAGTGATTTATTTTGGAGTCTTAGTGTCAAGTAGATTTTTTTTATTTGTCCATGTCCATGATAATTTTATCGGAATGTGCATTTTCAACCATAATAGCAGCAACAAAATGTGAGCGCCTGAAATTAAACAAAAAAATTACCTTTCAGCAATGGCAAGAAGCGGCCATGTTGTATGAACATGGAGGTTATTACGACAAAGCAGCTTCTGTCTACATTCGCAGTAAAAACTGGTGAGTTGTTCTCTGTTTGGTTTAAACTTCAGTAATGGACCGAAGTTAAGATACACTTCTTGTTATAAAGTGATAGTTTGTAGGATGATTTACTCTATTGAAGCGGAGGGTAATTTGGGAAAATACAACAAAGAAATCATGTAAAAAAAATTCAATATTTAATTTAAATCTCTGGTATCTGTATAATTTCATAAGAATACATTCCTCAAACAATGATGTAAAAAGAGAAGAATGACATAAGGGGAAGTTTTTTCTTGAATAACAGTCTGTGATATTTATTATTTTAAAGGAACAAAGTTGGAGAGCTTTTGTCACACATTACTTCCCCAAAAATCCATGCACAGTATGCCAAGGCTAAGGAAGCAGACGGTCGCTACAAGGAGGCAGCAGACGCCTACAAACAGGCCAAGGACTGGGACAATGTCATCAGGTACAAAAAGGGCTGGCTTTCTAGTTTATCACTAATTCTTCTTCAGATCTAATAACTCTGTTCACCAGATCTGACAAATATGTTCTGATACATTGTGTATTTGAGACAATTCTTTGTTACAGTCAGATAACGTGTTCAGATGTTTGATAAGGCTTTTATATATATGAGCGATGATGACAGTGTAGAGGTGTTTGATAAGGCTTGTATATATATGAGTGATAATGATGGTGTAGAGGTGTTTGATAAGGCTTGTATATATATGAGCGATGATAACAGTGTAGAGGTGTTTGATAAGGCTTGTATATATATGAGTGATAATGATGGTGTAGAGGTGTTTGATAAGGCTTGTATATATATGAGCGATGATGACAGTGTAGAGGTGTTTGATAAGGCTTGTATATATATGAGTGATAATGATGGTGTAGAGGTGTTTGATAAGGCTTGTATATATATGAGCGATGATGACAGTGTAGAGGTGTTTGATAAGGCTTGTATATATATGAGGATGAAGGTGTAGATGTTTGAAAGGCTTGTATATATATGAGTGATAATGATGGTGTAGAGGTGTTTGATAAGGCTTGTATATATATCAGTGATAATGATGGTGTAGAGGTGTTTGATAAGGCTTGTATATATATGAGCGATGATGACAGTGTAGAGGTGTTTGATAAGGCTTGTATATATATGAGCGATGATGACAGTGTAGAGGTGTTTGATAAGGCTTGTATATATATGAGTGATAATGACGGTGTAGAGGTGTTTGATAAGGCTTGTATATATATGAGTGATAATGATGGTGCAGAGGTGTTTGATAAGGCTTGTATATACATATGAGTGATACGGACAGTGTAGAGGTGTTTGATAAGGCTTGTATATATATGAGTGATAATGATGGTGCAGAGGTGTTTGATAAGGCTTGTATATACATATGAGTGATAAGGACAGTGTAGAGGTGTTTGATGAGGCTTGTAAATATATATATGAGTGATAACGACAGTGTAGACTTAAGGTGATCTGCTCTTTGTCAAGACAACACAAATATTCTTAACATGGTACAATGGTTACCTGGGTACCTAATAAAATATTGTGTTGGATGTTGAAGACATGATTCCAATGGGCCAGGTAAAGGCTATTATTATATATGTATCAACTCTTTTAACAATAATTTGGTGTTTTTTCAGGATAAACCTTGACTACCTACAAAACCCTGAGGAAGCTGTGAGAATTGTTCGTGATATTCAGTCTATAGAGGGAGCCAAGATGGTGGCCAAGTAAGTGTTCTGTAGCGGATGTGGACATGTTTTATGGACTCTAAACACTATCCGGATTTGCAATGAGAAATGAACATTAAATTTGTATTTGATTGGTTTAGTTATATAGTGAGTCTATGGATGATGGAGGAGGCTTGTAACTAAATGGTTTTTCTCCCCCTCCACTATGTCTTGTTTTTAGAAGGTCATATTGTTACAAAAGTATTTCTTTCTTTTGGTAGGTTTTTCCAGAAGTTGAACGATTACTCATCTGCTATCCAGTTCTTGGTGATGTCTAAATGTAATGACGAGGCATTCCAGCTGGCTCAAACACACAATCAGATGGAAACATATGCTGACATTATTGGTAAGTAAAAGCGAGTTTATATTGTCTCACAGTAAGCTTTAAATAAATTTATGCAGGTAGTGGTGCATCTATACATATATTTGAACTTGAAGTAAATAAATAATTGATTGCTTGAATCATGTTTTTAATCCTGCATAAAATTCTTCGTGAATTAAATAAGAGGACATTATTAAAATAATTTTAAAATAAAACCTGCATGTATAAATACCAGATATTTTACTACCACTAACAGGAATATCTCACAGAACATTTTCTTTGTTCCAGGTCCTGATGCTACCCCTGAGGACTACCAGAGTATTGCTCTGTACTTTGAGAATGAGAAGAATCACTTCCTGTCTGGAAAGTTTTTCCTACTTAGTGGACAGTACAGCAGAGTAAGGAGAGATAACTTACTGTCTTTTTAATATTACTGAAGCTTTTTAATTACATATTGTCAAACAGATATTTCATATAGGAACATTTTTGATTTCAGCAATAGAATAAAAGAAAATTCTTGGTTATTCATGCGTTCATGGATATTTTGGATATTTCAAAGAAACATCATAATTCTAGTATTTAATTATAGATAAATTTTGAAATTGTTAATGGAATGTACACTTGCTAGATGACAAATTGTAATCAGTCAATATTACATTTATTCACAGGCGATGAAGCACTTTTTGCGTTGTAGTGGAGAGGATGGCAGGGCAATTGAACTGGCTATAGAGACAGTAGGACGAGCCAACGATACACAGCTCACTAGACAGCTGATCGACTTCCTCATGGGAGAAACTGACAACATCCCAAAGGTAACAGCTTACTAGACAGCTGATCAGACAGTTTACAGATTTCTGTAGAGAGACTGACAAAATTTCTGAGTTAACAACTGACTAGACAGTTTACAGATCTCCTTGAGGAGAGACTGACAACATTTCTGACTTAACAACTGACTAGACAGTTTACAGATTTCTGAGGAGAGACTGACAAGATTTCTGACTTAATAACTGACTAGACAGTTTACAGACTTCCTTGTGGAGAGACTGACAAGATTTCTGATTTAACAACTGACCAGACAGCTTACAGATTTCCTTGTGGAGAGACTGACAAGATTTCTGACTTAACAACTGACTAGACAGTTTACAGATTTCCTTGTGGAGAGACTGACAAGATTTCTGAGTTAACAACTGACTAGACAGTTTACAGATTTCCTTGTGGAGAGACTGACAAGATTTCTGAGTTAACAACTGACTAGACAGTTTACAGATCTCCTTGAGGAGAGACTGACAACATTTCTGACTTAACAACTGACTAGACAGTTTACAGACTTCCTTGTGTAAGAGACTGACAAGATTTCTGAGTTAAAACTGACCAGACAGTTTACAGATCTCCTTGAGGAGAGACTGACAACATTTCTGACTTAACAACTGACTAGACAGTTTACAGATTTCTGAGGAGAGACTGACAAGATTTCTGACTTAACAACTGACTAGATAGTTTACAGATTTCCTTGTGGAGAGACTGACAAGATTTCTGAGTTAACAACTGACTAGACAGTTTACAGACTTCCTTGTGGAGAGACTGACAAGATTTCTGATTTAACAACTGACCAGACAGCTTTCAGATTTCCTTGTGGAGAGACTGACAAGATTTCTGAGTTAACAACTGACTAGACAGTTTACAGATCTCCTTGTGGAGAGACTGACAAGATTTCTGACTTAACAACTGACTAGACAGTTTACAGACTTCCTCGTGTAAGAGACCGACAATTTCCCTATGTAACACCTCATTAAAGAATGAGAGGGGAATAAATAATATCGAAAGAATTAGTCTTTTGAGCAAATTAGAATTTTGTTGCTGTCAGTGATGAATATCTAATATGTTTATTTTATAGGATGCCAAGTACCTATTCCGCCTGTATATGGCCCTGAAACAGTACAGAGAAGCGGCCCGTACTGCCATCATCATCGCTCGAGAAGAACAGAATGCTGGTATGCTTAAATCTATTTTAGTATATGAATAGAGTCTGGTTTTAAAGTAGTCATAAAGCTGAATGTATGAAATATGTGTTGTAGAGTATTTTATGCTTTAGAAATTAATACTTTGAATATGGATTTTTTTATCAATGGTAATAATTTTTGTTTATTGCACAATTTAATTTTTTTCAAGCTACATTCTTAACATGACATTTAAAGTACTTTTAATTACTTGAATGTTAGATTAATGTATTGCTAAAAGATTAAGTCCAATGTTTTTTATCACTGTTTTATCAGGATCTGTAAAATTCCACAAAACTTGAAATTTCAATCATTAGAAATAGTTTGTAGAAGCTGATCAAAGTATAAAATTCATTGAGTCTCATGTCACAAGGTGTTTGCTTCATCAAATACATTTGATTGCATATACTGGTATATGTTATTAAAAAGTTTATAAGGAAGAAAGAGTGATTATAAGTTAAACTTTTGGACTGTATTTGTAATTCTCTGATTTCTTTGTAGGTAATTACCGTAATGCCCATGATGTGCTGTTCAGTATGTACCAGGAGCTGAAGGAACAGAAGATTAAAATCCCAGCAGAGATGGCCACCAACCTGATGATTCTTCACAGCTATATCCTTGTGAAGATCCACGTCAAACATGGCGACCATCTCAAGGGTGCTAGAATGCTCATACGTGTGGCTAATAACATCAGCAAATTTCCTTCTCGTGAGTTTTGTTTGGGATCAATGTTTCTTGATAAATTTCAAGACTGCATTCAGTGTCTCATAGTGGATTGATAGATCTGGGGCCTGCTGGTTTATACAAACAAATTTGTTGGTGCGTCAGATATTTTCGACATGAATAGGAATGCACCTACAAGTATCAATACAGGCCTTGAAAGGCTTTGTTAGGGGCCTGTCAGATGGCAAAAGAAGATCTGTAGATCTCTCCTTATTTCACAAACGAAAAAGACCCTGTTCCGACTGCTGATGAATGAAAATGGCCCTGGTGTAAATAAGACATCAGATATAAAGGCATGTGCCTGTTTATTTGTTATCATTAATGGCAATGCCCTAATTAGATTGTCGCTGATATGAAGTTCCTGTATTGTTATGTGATTCCCACATCATGTAATATTCATTGTTTTTACCATTCACTGGTTTCTGCCTTACAGACATTGTGCCTATCCTCACCTCCACCGTTATTGAGTGTCACAGAGCAGGCCTGAAAAACTCCTCCTTCAGTTACGCTGCCATGTTAATGCGACCAGAGTACAGAAATCAAATTGACCTAAAGTTTAAGAAGAAGATTGAGATGATTGTGCGTAAGCCAGATAAGACAGAGGAAGAGGAGCCATTGTCACCCTGTCCCTATTGTGGCTTTCAGTTGCCGGAGACTGATCTCACATGTCCAGAATGTAAAAATACCCTACCATACTGTACCATAACGGTGAGTGTAGCAATAAATAGTGTAACACACTGTACCATAACGGTGAGTGTGGCAATAAATAGTGTAACATACTGTACCATAACGGTGAGTGTAGCAATATATAGTGTAACATACTGTCCCATAACGGTGAGTGTAGCAATATATAGTGTACCATACTGTACCATAACGGTGAGTGTAGCAATAAATAGTGTAACATACTGTACCATAACGGTGAGTGTGGCAATAAATAGTGTAACATACTGTACCATAACGGTGAGTGTAGCAATATATAGTGTAACATACTGTACCATAACGGTGAGTGTGGCAATAAATAGTGTAACATACTGTACCATAACGGTGAGTGTGGCAATAAATAGTGTAACATACTGTACCATAACGGTGAGTGTAGCAATATATAGTGTAACATACTGTACCATAACGGTGAGCATAGCAATACACTTATAGTCTAAAAGTGTATAAATAGTGTAACATACTGTACCATAACGGTGAGTGTAGCAATACACTTATAGTCTAAAAGGGTATAAATAGTGTAACATACTGTACCATAACGGTGAGTGTAGCAATGAATAGTGTAAAGTACTGTACCATAACGGTGAGTGTAGCAATACAGTTATAGTCTAAAAGTGTATAAATAGTGTAACATACTGTACCATAAAGGTGAGTGTAGCAATAAATAGTGTAACATACTGTACAGTCAGGGTGAGTAGAGAAATATAATACTTTACAGTCACAGAGTGTAATAAATAGTGTAACATACTGTACAGTCAGGGTGAGTGGAGAAATATCATATTTTGTAGTCTCCGAGTGTCTGAAATTGTGTCCTATTCTGTACTGTTACAGTATGTATAGATATATCATATTTTGTAGTCTCAGAGTGTCTGAAATTGTGTCCTATTCTGTACTGTTACAGTATGTATAGATATATCATATTTTGTAGTCTCAGAGTGTCTGAAATTGTGTCCTATTCTGTACTGTTACAGTATGTATAGATATATCATATTTTGTAGTCTCAGAGTGTCTGAAATTGTGTCTATTCTGTAAATTGTGATATACCTATTTTGTAGTGTACTGTTGTGTACAGTACTGTACAGTATGATATATATACATATTTTTGTAGTCTCAGAGTGTCTGAAATTGTGTCCTATTCTGTACTGTTACAGTATGTATAGATATACCATATTTTGTAGTCTCAGAGTGTCTGAAATTGTGTACCATACTGTACTGTCATGACACTGAATGTAAACAAATTCTTTACAGAACTATAGTGTAATAGTGTAAATACTATGTAGATATTGGGTAGATATGTATAGTTACTGGGTAAGTATGAGTGATGAAATGTAGATTTTAATATTATTACATTATGAAAAGAAATATTCCACCGATGCAGAGGTAAATAGTATCTTTCAATGCACACCTATGATCCTATTGCATTTCAAGTGTATCTACTTTAAACCATTGAGCATTGATTTGATATTACAGGGTCGACATCTCGTAAAAGACGACATGGCTGCCTGTCCTAAGTGTGATTTCCCGGCGTTATTTTCTGAGTTTATTAGGTTTGTTCCAATAAGTGTTCTGTTATAATTCCTGTTTATACTTAATTGTTCTTTATTTTTTGTCCCATTATTTCTTGTCTACTTAACTATTACAATACATCTAATCAGGAGATTCCTTTGATAAACAAGTGTAATTCTGAAAAGTTATGTCATATCTTGAGAGTCTCTCAATGGATTTTAATTTTTTGTTTGAATAGAAGTGGAGACATTTATGGCTTAAAGGCATATTTTAGTTCCTCCCACTTAATCTCTAATCTAATCAGCTCCTCTGAAATATAAGAAAACATTTAGGGATTGTTTTGTAAGTATAAGGATAAAACATTTAAGGATTGTTTTGTAGGTATAAAGATAAAATATTTTTAAGGATTGTTTTGTAAATATAAAGATAAAATATTTTTAAGGATTGTTTTGTAAGTATAAAGATAAAACATTTAAGGATTGTTTTGTAAGTATAAAGATAAAACATTTAAGGATTGTTTTGTAAGTATAAAGATAAAACATTTAAGGATTGTTTTGTAAGTATAAAGATAAAACATTTAAGGATTGTTTTGTAAGTATAAAGATAAAACATTTAAGGATTGTTTTGTAAGTATAAAGATAAAACATTTAAGGATTGTTTTGTAAGTATAAAGATAAAATATTTTTAAGGATTGTTTTGTAAGTATAAAGATAAAACATTTAAGGATTGTTTTGTAAGTATAAAGATAAAACATTTAAGGATTGTTTTGTAAGTATAAAGATAAAACATTTAAGGATTGTTTTGTAAGTATAAAGATAAAACATTTAAGGATTGTTTTGTAAGTATAAAGATAAAACATTTAAGGATTGTTTTGTAAGTATAAAGATAAAATATTTTCAAGGATTGTTTTGTAAGTTTAAGGATAAAACATTTAAGGATTGTTTTGTAAGTATAAAGATAAAACATTTAAGGATTGTTTTGTAAGTACAAAGATAAAACATTTTTAAGGATTGTTTTGTAAGTATAAAGATAAAACATTCTTAAGGATTGTTTTGTAAGTATAAGGATAAAACATTTAAGGATTGTTTTGTAAGTATAAAGATAAAACATTTAAGGATTGTTTTGTAAGTATTTTCTGTAATCATGATGTTTCAGGTTGTTGGAAATAGAAGATAGTTGTCCTATGTGTACAGAGAAGGTTATCAAGGAGAATGTACAGAAAGTGACAGACACCCAACATTACCTTTCTCCAGAAGAGGGCACAGAGTGATGTCAGACTACTTAAAACCTAGCTTAAATTGTGAACCATTGACAACAAGTGGACCTTGATCGACTGAAAAATATACAATGTGAACAGGGAAAATAGTAATGTACCACGTGTACAGAAACAAAATAATGTACAATAAGTACAGATTTTAATAAATGTGTGATTTGTAGATGGATTGAATTCTTAAAAGGTATCTCTAATTAGCTTACAAGATACAACATACAGTTGTCATATTAGTGGGATATTTAAAGAATGATGATTTTATTACAAAGTGTGAGAAAACAATGTTAAGATGTTGGAGGGGAAAAACTTAATGGTTAAGAAAAACACATATTGTCCACTCATGTTATTTCTGACAGTCCTTGATAGCATATTCTGATACTATAAATTGATACATTCCATATTTAATGCATATAAAAGCGTTCAGCATAATGAAATCCTTCAGTTGTAGCGACAGTATTGTGTTGGAAATTCTGAATGAAATGTGTTTGTATGTTGAACAGTTCAATGAATGAGGATATTTTGATTTATTTATTGAAAGAGGGAGAAACTTTTATGTACAATATAAATACCGGTAGATCATTTGTTCTTACGGCAGAACCAGAAAGGTTGTGTGCTGAATCACAATTTTTGATTTCAAGATTTCTTCTATCTTGGGTTGTGGTAAGCATTTTCTCATTTTTTTAATTTTTTTTTTTTTTTGATGCTTTCTGAAAATTTTAGGGGAGCATATACATTTAGTTGCTTGTTTTTTCTTAGTTAAAAAAAGAATGAGAGTAGATCAAGGTGAATAATATATATAGATTGATGATTAATACTGGAGTTTTGCACTGAAAGAAATATGTTGATTTTCCAACAGTAATGAAATTTGCACAACTTCTATAAGTTTTAAAAAAAAAAATTGAGACTCACTTTGCTGGTCAAATATCTGTGTTCATTCTAACATTGCAACAAGTTTCATCGTCTGTGACAATAATGTTGTTACTGAGTCAATATCATGAATACATTTATAGTAAATTATCAGGTATTGATAATTCTGGTGTGTTTTCAGTAGTGTATAGATCATAGTGCTACACTATCAAATACTATTCAGTTACTGGTGACAACTTACCTGTCAATTGGTATCAGATGATATCATTACAATGTTGCCTGTTTGCAAGAAGTCTTGTATCATATAACAGAATCTTGTGTCAGAGAAAACCATGTCCATCAAAAAATTATCCAAAATATAATAATTACAATTTATTGGAAATATTTCAAAAGTGAATTGTGCATTGGAGTTAAAAATATTTTCAAGTTTTATAATTACCATAATCACTTTCTACACTCAACAGATATATAAGTTATATTTTTCTGTAAACCCAATTATATATGTATGAATATAAATTGGGATATAGGCCTCTATGTAAATTTGAATATGACAGATATTCTTCCTAACTTACGTTTCATTTTTCTATGCTTTATAATGATGCATATTTACAAAACTTTTGTTTCATCTTTATACATTACAGCACAAAAATGTAATTAAGGAAGTTTGTAGTTAGATGTTTTAAACACTTTGATACTCAAATGCTCAGAATCTTTTGAGTTTGAATAATGTTACAACCGTCCAAGTAAAATAGAGACATTTTATTGATGATATTTATATTTTGATTTTGTAGGGTTATTTAATAAAGAAAACAAGTTAATTTATCGCCAACAGTTTATGTGCCTCTGTATTACCGTCCAAAGATATCTGTGTATTTATAGACGGAATCCATTGTTGTTGTAGATCTGACTTTTTAAACAAAGCTTGTATATAATACAATGTGTCTGTGATTTACAAAATCTAATTCTATAGCTTTCAATTGCTGTTTGTTATTTGTTTTTTATGTTTTACTAACATGTCTAGACACTGGGTTGAAATAATATGTTGAAGTTGTGCCTTGGAAAAGCAGTATCGCCATTTGATTAATAGCTGACTCAGCAGAATTTTATTTAAATTCAGTTATTAGTGGGTGGGATGGGCTGCTTACAATGATGAATGACATCAAGATATTGGTTCTTTTGAAATGTTTATAAGATAACAAAATTTTTTTACCCTGTACACATGGGTGCCTGGCAAACAGACTTTGTTAAGTTTTAGGCATTACATTTGTTATTGCTTGTCGACTTGTATCAGAAAAGTGGTCTCTTCCAAATGTCTAATTTTCCTGTTTGTAATTTACCAAGGTTTTTGTTCCAAAAAATAACATTTATGGTAAGAAATGGCTCCCGAACAATGCTATGACTTGTCGGAAGCTCAAAAGGAAATTATTGGAAAATATACATGAAGTTTAAGAAATTTGCTATAATGGCATTCTCACGTCATCATTAATTTATAATTGACTGGAATATGAGTAGGACAACAGAGAAAGGTAGTATATGAGATAGTAGGCGCTAAGACATCTGTGAAACAAACATATTTTCCGACATCTTGTTCAACTGGCATTTAGGTTAATGTGAACTCAACTTATCAATCACCATCAGTTTTACAATATTTTTCTTAAAATATTTGGCTTCAGTGATTCTTTAGTCACAATCACAGGGACTTGGCACAAATTCCCGACCCACAGGTCATATAAATATATTACAGTGACTTTTACACCTACACTGTATTTATTGGCCGGTGATTGGAAAGTCATGCCAAGTCGTGTGGCTACAATAAAAATAGAACACATAGAAAGGAATATAAGGTTTTATTAATAAAATATCTGCTTATAATATACATAGATGATCTATAGTGTGCATGACAGGAAACACGTGAGACAGTTTCCATAGTTACAGAGTTATTCTAATTCTACAAACTAATACTACTTCAGTCTGGTACAGTTAGAACTTGTTAAAATCATTCGGTATAATTATATACTTTTCATTAAAATCAAGGTCAACGTTTTCCTCGTGAGCGTTGACATTTCATCTGAACATCTCAAGATCAGGATATCTCTAACAGTGCTACCTACAATATTATGCGAACACATACACTATGGATCTATAAATGTCCTGTAAAGAGGCGTTGTACAGGGAGTCCGGCTGATTGCCAGAGAAAGCATGTTGCTGGAGCTAGTTTTGCACAAATTGAAGAACAACATTTACCAATATGTCCCGGCTATCGCCTGATATTAAATGGTGAACACAAAGTAATGATCACAGGGTGGAATTTAACATGATAAATTACAACTATTGCCCATATATGCTAGACTGTATTACCCGATCCCTATTCTATACTGTCCATGTGTAAACATGATATTGCCTTTTACCATAAACGGTATCCATATCACGTGATTTTACGGACATTATCTTACTAAAACAATGACTTGCGTTGTGTATTATTTTCTAAAGGAAAAAGACAGAGAGTTGTACTGAAGATCTATCTAAGAATATATCGAGGAGGATAGTACCAGCCTTCAGCTGTAATTACATGTAGTAGATAGTTACCAATGATAACTCTTTGGATTCAGCACTATTTGTCTCCGTGCATTTGTAAGATAAACATTTCTGAGAAATTGCGAGTTGTCTTTCTTCAACAAGTAGTAAAGATAATGAATGGCACACACCCACACTCTCATGTAACGCCCTGCTTAGCACTAAAAACAGGGGAAGACCGAAAAACACGTGGTGGCGAATGTAAAGTGGCCAGAGACATTAAGATCAGTCGAAGACAAAAGCAGATAGTAAGTAAAACAATGGCGGACAAAATAGAAATATAGGGCAGATTGAGTAATGATCTCTTTGCTTCTTGTATAACATTAACTCGAGTCTATGAGTTAATTTGAAGTATCCTACACCAATATCTACCACATGCATATACTACATACTAGTCACGACGTACTGGACCCGATATAAAGATAAAACAGGCCTCGACATTTCGAGTAATCACCCTCCAGAAACATATTTCGACCTACAGGCTCCCAGAACTGAATGTTACATGACTCGTTAGTGGATTGGAATATTACAGATATTGTCAATTACACAAAGCGTGTCGAAACCGTCACGAAGCCAAGTAGTGGAGATCTTAGGGACGTCGAGCTGTACATGTACTTATACAGACATCGATTGCAATCCCTATGTATTACCCTAATTACTAAATAAGGCGCGACTTATTTTCATCAATAGTAAGCAAATACAGAGGTATTTATATCAAGACACTACAGGTCTATTTTCAGGATAAGCTTGTTTTTGAGGTCGACTTATTTTCAAATTTTTACGGTAATGGTAATTGCAATTGATTTAAGATAAATCTCGGTACGTTTATGGAATGTTAACGAGAGGTGTCGCTACCGTATTAACAGGAGGCAGTGAGGTGCTGTTACGGAAGTTATGGAAGCAGTTGATGTCAACGTGACACTGGGTAACAAACATATAAACCTGACAAAAACACGTCTGACGAGAAATAGATTAACAAATCGTGTTCCAAATATAAGCATCATAACTTTGACTGGATTTCATCGACTGATTTCATATCTTTATTTTTAAACAGGCTGACATTGATCCATTGAAACAAAACGCTGCCAAATTCGGAATAAACTTGTACTTTGTCCTATCTAAATCAGGATATTTTTCATATCAACCGGTGCGTAGCAAAAACCAAGGCGACATATCGTATCGAGAAATTCGAACGGGACGAATCTGGGATTTCGTGATATCGTTGGGGTTCATATATAGTACATGTGCTGGCGTTGCTAAAACAGAACGTATTTTTTGAGAAAGAAAGACCCTAACGTTAGTAATTATTAGTATCTATTGTGACATATTTCTTTGTCGAACTGCGTGGACGTTATCTCATTACATCTCATACACCATTCCGTCACTTGTCGTCAGCAACACATAGAACTGTGTGACATTGACTTACATCAAGAGAAATATTAGAGTGACCTTGTGAACATGTGTCTTGAGCATAAATTTCCTTACGGCTGTAAGCTAAGTGCGTTTAGTCATGGTGTTTGTCCAACATAACAGTGCAGAATCCGACTAAAGCTTCCAGTTTTGCAGTAAATTGTCTCATTCTGATTTCCAAACATCCTCTACAGATCTAGAGTCGTTCTTGTTCTGGCGTCATGGCTTTATTGTCCTGGCCAACCATGTAGATGTTACCCTTCTCACTGTTATAACCTACATTAGAGGGATAATGTCCGTTACCATCAGGAGCGGCTTGCAAGGTCTGTATAGGGGCATACCTAGGACCTTTACGGTCCTCGTCATTAGCTGGACCCCATTCCGGCTCCGATTTGATGGCGGCACGAATCTGAATGATATAGAAAAAAATAAGATGTAGCTTTCTCTGAAAGCGATGTAAACATTAAGATGTATCTTTCTTGGAAAGCGACGTAAACATTAAGATGTAGGTTTCTCTGAACGCAATGTAAACATTAAGATGTAGGTTTCTCTGAAAGCGATGTAAGCATTAAGATGTAGGTTTCTTTGAAAGCGATGTAAACATTAAGATGTTTGTTTCTCTGAAAGCGATGTAAACATTAAGATGTAGGTTTCTTGGAAAGCGATGTAAACATTAAGATGTTTGTTTCTCTGAAAGCGATGTAAACATTAAGATGTAGGTTTCTTGGAAAGCGATGTAAACATTAAGATGTAGGTTTCTTTGAAAGCGATGTAAACATTAAGATGTAGGTTTTTTAAAGCGATGTAAACATTAAGATGTTTGTTTCTCTGAAAGCGATGTAAACATTAAGATGTTTGTTTCTCTGAAAGCGATGTAAACATTAAGATGTAGGTTTCTTTGAAAGCGATGTAAACATTAAGATGTAGGTTTCTCTGAAAGCGATGTAAACATTAAGATGTAGGTTTCTTGGAAAGTGATGTAAACATTAAGATGTAGGTTTCTCTGAAAGCGATGTAAACATTAAGATGTAGGTTTCTTGGAAAGCGATGTAAACATTAAGATGTAGGTTTTTTAAAGCGATGTAAACATTAAGATGTTTGTTTCTCTGAAAGCGATGTAAACATTAAGATGTTTGTTTCTCTGAAAGCGATGTAAACATTAAGATGTAGGTTTCTTTGAAAGCGATGTAAACATTAAGATGTAGGTTTCTCTGAAAGCGATGTAAACATTAAGATGTAGGTTTCTTTGAAAGCGATGTAAACATTAAGATGTAGGTTTCTCTGAAAGCGATGTAAACATTAAGATGTAGGTTTCTTGGAAAGCGATGTAAACATTAAGATGTAGGTTTCTTTGAAGTACATTTACATTAACTGATCTATATAAGTTGATGGTATGTAAGTATCAGCTGATGCCAGACAACATGTCGTTGATCTGTTTACTCAAGACCATTTCCACACGCAGGCATGATACAAGCTAGAAATGTATTGTAAAAGAAAATAAAATCCAATGGAACTTTTATCGAATTTAAATTAAAATACGTTATATCATAATATTGAGTTAGCTTGTATACATTTTATACACACAATCACAATGCCCGGATGTAGTTTTAACAATATACATACCCCTCCCTTACGAATCATCTGTACGATAGCACCGATGATGATTAGAACAAGGGGCGCCATTACCATCATCCAGCCAATAGCCTCGGCGAATGGAGGGTAGGTGTAATCCCCCAGTACGGCCGGAGAGTAATTGATGGCCATCATGATTACGATGAACTGTAAGTAAACATCAGATATTTTGAAGATTATTTCATCGTGTCAATAATTTCATTATAGACAGAATTAAACAACCCATATGGTTCCGATTAATGGTTAAAAATCTAAAACGTGAAGATTGTAATGTTGTGAATTATATATCAAATGATAGACTAAAACTTTCAGGCCTAAGGTTAATAGAACAGCATCGTGAACGTGCACTTGAATGAATTCAACAAAACGTTATTTGCAAATTAACGACATTGGAATTGTACTTTTCTGATACATTAACTGATCTATCACCACAAACGGCACGAGACTAGCTTATTCTATATTGACTGATCTATCACCACAAACGGCACAAGGCTACCCTTACTCTATATTAACTGATCTATCACCACAAACGGCACGAGGCTACCCTTACTATATATTGACTGATCTATCACCACAAACGGTACGAGGCTAGCTTACTCTATATTGACTGATCTATCACCACAAACGGCACAAGGCTACCCTTACTCTATATTAACTGATCTATCACCACAAACGGCACGAGGCTACCCTTACTATATATTGACTGATCTATCACCACAAACGGTACGAGGCTATTATCTATATTAACTGATCTATCACCACAAACGGCACGAGGCTAGCTTACTCTATATTGACTGATCTATCACCACAAATGGCACGAGGCTACCCTTACTCTATATTAACTGATCTATCACCACAAACGGCACGAGGCTACCCTTACTATATATTGACTGATCTATCACCACAAACGGTACGAGGCTAGCTTACTCTATATTGACTGATCTATCACCACAAACGGCACGAGGCTAGCTTACTCTATATTGACTGATCTATCACCACAAACGGCACGAGGCTAGCTTACTCTATATTGACTGATCTATCACCACAAACGGCACGAGGCTACCCTTACTCTATATTGACTGATCTATCACCACAAACGGTACGAGGCTAGCTTACTCTATATTGACTGATCTATCACCACAAACGGCACGAGACTAGCTTACTCTATATTAACTGATCTATCACCACAAACGGCACGAGGCTAGCTTACTCTATATTGACTGATCTATCACCACAAATGGCACAAGGCTACCCTTACTCTATATTAACTGATCTATCACCACAAACGGCACAAGGCTACCCTTACTCTATATTAACTGATCTATCACCACAAACGGCACGAGGCTACCCTTACTATATATTGACTGATCTATCACCACAAACGGTACGAGGCTAGCTTACTCTATATTAACTGATCTATCACCACAAACGGCACGAGGCTAGCTTACTCTATATTGACTGATCTATCACCACAAACGGCACGAGGCTAGCTTACTCTATATTGACTGATCTATCACCACAAACGGCACGAGGCTACCCTTACTCTATATTGACTGATCTATCACCACAAACGGTACGAGGCTAGCTTACTCTATATTGACTGATCTATCACCACAAACGGCACGAGGCTACCCTTACTCTATATTGACTGATCTATCACCACAAACGGCACGAGGCTACCCTTACTCTATATTGACTGATCTATCACCACAAACGGCACGAGGCTACCTTTACTCTATATTAACTGATCTATCACCACAAACGGCACGAGGCTACCCTTACTCTATATTGACTGATCTATCACCACAAACGGCACGAGGCTACCCTTACTCTATATTAACTGGTCTATCACCACAAACGGCACGAGGCTACCCTTACTCTCTCTTAAAGCCCCAAAATACGCAGTTTTCACTTTAAAAGCGAAGAGAAAAAGTCTCTATTTTTATGAATTTAATAAAAATGAATTTATCTGAGAAATACGACGATATTGTGTGTTGGTATTTATAAAAAAAAAAAAAAAAACCCTGTTGATATTCACTATTTGTAAACACGCCTCTATTAACGATCTTTTGCCGAATCGAACTCGGAGAAGACATTTCTACATTTTCATGATAAGTCAGTATTCATAATACACAGCGAACACTGGAATGACTATACACCTGTCACACTGTTAAGGATAAGAGAATACGAAATGAGGTTTATAACAAAGTTTGTGGAATAAGTTTTCGAGGCTATGTTTATATTTTATAATTGTAAACTTACCAAGATGGCGAGTGGAGTTATGGCACACCACATGGTATAGAAATAGGCCCATATAATTGGACTCTTTTTCCCCAGCATCAGCTCGATATCTTGTCGGAAATTGTTTATTCCTGATCAAATATGCAATAACATGAATAGTTTTACGTTAATGTTAAAACACAAGTTGTGTATACCAAGATCATTCTCATTCCAACATGATGCTATTTTGTATACATGTATTACTATTGATTTCCAATAATACGAAGGAAAATTATTCATGAAACAATTTGATATGTTATTTCAATGATATTTCGCTCTATAGTTGATACAAATCTAAATTTGATATCAAATGATACTTTTTTTACATTATATGATAAAGATATAAAAGATTACAAGATTTAGAGTCATTGTAACAGGAAAAAATATAAAAATAAAAAAAAATCACAAGAGGCCAGTTTCTCTAGGTTTTTCGCCGTTGGGTGCTCTTCAGGAGAGCTGCCATTAGCAAGAAACCTGAAAACTCCGGATTCTGAATGTTTTTCTTCTCAAACGATTATATTAAAAGCAAACTCATAATATACCATAAGATAACTATTTATAACAAGTAATATGCAAAAGTAGTAAGTAAAACACGTGATGATAAAACTGAAGATCTGGCATTTGTTGATGACTTACCGTATACATAATTTATTCCAACAACTTCGACGAAGCTGACGATCATAAGATTGTAACTTCCGGAGTACCAATCAACGAGCGTGAGTAAGTAAATTCCTCCCTAAAACCATAGAAACAATCACGTTTATCATATATTTTTGGCATGAATGTCATCTTTTTATTTAAGAACATTTTATCTGATTATGACATAGTCTATCTTAATAATATAATTACAATTTGAATTAAGAATGATCATATTCATGTCATTGCTATTATGTCGTCATTATCATCTTGTGTTTGAGTGTATTTGCTTGCTGATTATTTTAAGGTACAGTTAACCGATAAAATGATAAAATATTCAATCAATAGGTGACGTTTCCGGATCAAGGCAAGAACATTTCTGTAATATCTATCCTTTTTATAGTCTAAAATGGAAATTCCTAAAGAAATAAGATTAAATGAACAACATTTACATGGAGTGTTTGTATGATTACATTCTCAGCATTGTTTATAGGATTACCTTGCAAGTCTGGGGGATACCCAGGACAAAACCGACCATACAACAAAAGAATGTAAACAGCGCCTTCTTGCTCCTTAGCTGCCTGGGGAAGACATCTGTGATACCGCTTATGACTGTTTCCATCATGGCGAACTTTAGGGGGGAAAACAAAAATCGATCGATCAATAGTATTAACCATTCATATGTTTAAGCTGTCGTCAATACGAAAATTGGAATAAAAACATCTTCAATAACAACAACGTAGAAGCTGATGTTTTAATTATGTATCAATGATTATTGAATATATCTATTGGTTGATTTGTGAAGTATTAAAATGGTAACATGTAGTCGGTAAGGGGAATATCTTGTGATCGGTGCTTTGTAATGATAATAATTAGGGAACCATTTACAACATAATTCTTATTGAAGAGACCGATAGTCAAAGGACAAACCTTCCGTAGGATAAGATATAAGAAAGATAAAATGGAAAATTTTCATAAACAGTCAAAATAATCTAGTTTAGTCAATTGATTGATTTTCGGAGATGCAATCAATAAAATACGTTTATCAATCAAACCTAACACATCAGTATATATAAAACTACTTAACCTAACACGTCAGTACTTAACCTAACACATCAATATCTATAAAACTACTTAACCTAACACGTCAGTATATATAAAACTACTTAACCTAACACGTCAGTATATATAAAACTACTTAACCTAACACGTCAGTATATATAAAACTACTTAACCTAACACGTCAGTATATATAAAACTACTTAACCTAACACGTCAGTATATATAAAACTACATAACCTAACACGTCAGTATATATAAAACTACTTAACCTAACACGTCAGTATATATAAAACTACTTAACCTAACACGTCAGTATATATATAAAACTACGTAACCTAACACGTCAGTATATATAAAACAACGTAACCTAACACGTCAGTATATATAAAACTATATTATACCTAACACGTCAGTATATATACTTAACCTAACACGTCAGTATATATAAAACTACTTAACCTAACACGTCAGTATATATAAAACTACTTAACCTAACACGTCAGTATATATAAAACTACTTAACCTAACACGTCAGTATATATATATAACTACTTAACCTAATACGTCAGTATATATAAAACTACGTAACCTAACACGTCAGTATATATAAAACTACTTAACCTAACACATCAGTATATATAAAACTATTTAACCTAACACGTCAGTATATATAAAACTACTTATACCTAACACGTCAGTATATATAAAACTACTTAACCTAACACATCAGTATATATATAACTTCTTAACCTAACACGTCAGTATATATAAAACTACTTAACCTAACACGTCAGTATATATAAAACTACTTATTCTAACACGTCAGTATATATATAACTACTTAACCTAACACGTCAGTATATATAAAACTACTTAACCTAACACGTCAGTATATATAAAACTACTAAACCTAACACGTCAGTATATATAAAACTACTTAACCTAACACGTCAGTATATATAAAACTACTTAACCTAACACGTCAGTATATATAAAACTACTAAACCTAACACGTCAGTATATATATAACTTCTTAACCTAAAACATCAGTATATATAAAACTACTTAACCTAACACGTCAGTATATATAAAACTACTTAACCTAACACGTCAGTATATATAAAACTACTTAACCTAACACGTCAGTATATATAAAACTACTTAACCTAACACGTCAGTATATATAAAACTACATAACCTAACACGTCAGTATATATAAAACTACTAAACCTAACACGTCAGTATATATAAAACTACTAAACCTAACACGTCAGTATATATATAACTTCTTATACCTAAAACATCAGTATATATAAAACTACTTAACCTAACACGTCAGTATATATAAAACTACTTAACCTAACACGTCAGTATATATAAAACTACTTAACCTAACACGTCAGTATATATAAAACTACTTAACCTAATATATATAACACGTATATATAAAACAGTATATATATAAAACTACTTAGGTATATATAAAACTACTTAGGTGTTTCCAACATTAATGTGTACCACAGTTATATCCTGAGATGAATATTGTAGTTAAGCCAAGGTCACTGTCATGAATGTAAATTCAATGCACCCTAATGCCGAGTACAACAGACAATTTGCATTGCTGTACGCAAAGTTCATGGAGGAATTAAATGTTACAGTGAAAATAAGCATCGGTAGTAATCAAATGAAACAGATTGCTTTAACATCCATAGTGACCGGAGGGAAGTTTACCTGGCTGTCAAGTCCCAGGGTAAATAACATGAAGAAGAACAGGAAGGCGAATATAGGTGGACTGGGTAATCTGGCGATGCCTTCTGGGTAAGCAATGAAGGCTAAACCGGGCCCTGTATAACAAAATAAAATAAATAATTTAATCAGGACCTGTATAACAAAGTAAAATTAACTACTTAAACCAAGACTTGTATAACAAAGTAAAATTAACTACCTAAACCAAGACTTGTATAACAAAGTAAAATTAACTACCTAAACCAAGACTTGTATAACAAAGTAAAATTAACTACCTAAACCAAGACTTGTATAACAAAGTAAAATTAACTACCTAAACCAAGACTTGTATAACAAAGTAAAATTAACTACCTAAACCAAGACTTGTATAACAAAGTAAAATTAACTACCTAAACCAAGACTTGTATAACAAAGTAAAATTAACTACCTAAACCAAGACTTGTATAACAAAGTATAATTAACTACCTAAACCAAGACTTGTATAACAAAGTAAAATTAACTACCTAAACCAAGACTGGTATAAAAAAGTAAAATTAACTACCTAAACCAAGACTTGTATAACAAAGTAAAATTAACTACCTAAACCAAGACTGGTATAAAAAAGTAAAATTACCTAAATCAAGACCTGTAAAACAAATTAATTTTTACTTGTCTCCTTATGAAAAACACATTTTTTTATAATCATTGTGGATTTGATGAAACACATGTATTTTAATAAAAGTTATCAATATATTTTCCGGTTCTTGGTATATTTGATGCTGATACAATATACGTACCGTCGTCGGCCACCTTATCAATGGGAACATTGGTGGTATAAGATATATAACCAAGCAGAGAGAAAATGGCGAATCCGGCGAACACACTGGTACCACAATTGATGAACGATACGATCACAGCATCTCTGAAAAAAGGAATTTTGTTGATCAGTTATGTTAGTATTTTCAGTTCTTAACATATCATTATAATAATAAGCATGTAGTGTACGGTTCAAATATGGTTTCGCCTTTCTTATACAGATTTTAGGTTAACACAATTTATAGAACCGTAGACCGATATCGGTGTTTAAATGTGGTCTTCAACACTTCAGGTCTCTAGCATCAATGACTAAAGCAAGATTGTACACAAGGCACACAAGTGAATAGCACCTTAACGTGACTTATAGCTAGATACAGTAAAGCCAAACAATTAATAAAATGCACCATAACGCTGAATCGTCCTTCTAGGACTCGTCAGTGATGCTGCATCATACAACTGTTTCGTCCTTCTAGGACTCGTCAGTGATGCTGCATCATACATCTGTTTCGTCCTTCTAGGACTCGTCAGTGATGCTGCATCATACATCTGTTTCGTCCTTCTAGGACTCGTCAGTGATGCTGCATCATACAGCTGTTTCGTCCTTCTAGGACTCGTCAGTGATGCTGCATCATACAACTGTTTGTCCTTCTAGGACCCATCAGTGATGCTACATCATACAGCTGTTTCGCTCTTCTAGGACTCGTCAGTGATGCTAAGGACTTAAAATGTGAAGCCTAGGAGGCGACTAAGGAAATTCCAATGTGATCAAATGAAAAGTCAAAATCTGGACTTGGGAGTGCAGCGGTCCTATAGTTAGATAAATTTCGTAATTTTCAAACAGCATCTTGGACCATTATTCGGCCACAGTGTAGTAAATAAATCTGCCGAGTGTTTTCAGTTTGCGTCCCACACTTTGCCTTCCAACTTTTTTTTAATGAGCTCATACACAACCTGATGCTTTGGATGGCATTCTAAATGCAACTTTGGAAGAACAAATAACCACATGAATTCAGAATGACCATTAATGTAACTCTCCTAACTAACTTAACGTGATGTTCTTTTATATGCATGTTGAGATATTTTCCCTCCTACTCTCGTTCTCGTCTTATTCTGATATTTATTGATGATTCGCCTGACAATAAACAAGGAATAGATATACATGTAGGAACATTTACATTGGCTTATTTACATACCGTAGACAGTTGTTATGGAACTTGTTGTAACTAGCCATGGTCAGAAGACCCCCAAAGGCTGGTCCAAGTGAGTAAAATATCTGTGTGGCGGCGTCTCCCCACACCTAACAATATGAAATTATTTGATGTAAGTAACTTTTTCAATTAAAATCCGATGAGAAGTAGACTGACGGGTTCATTGCTTTAATTACAAATGTTTATGAAATTATGAGATTTTTTCAACAAAAAATATTTAAATCTTCTGATTGCAATTCTTATAGGCAATCGTCATTTAAGATTTAAACGACATGATACGTGAAATCCTATTGTGAATCTCTATAAAGTTTAGTGAATAGGTTTTATTTTAACATTAGTTAAGCAATACACATCGAGTCATCTTTTTTGTACGCAACTTATTTTCGTATGTAAATAGGACATCACTCTACCAAGATGGTAATAACCCAAATAACACACACGATTTTCTGTAAGAGAAGTTGCTTCCCTTTACTACAAAAGCCTAACAAATATGTATAATTAAATGAAATTTGTGTTTAGTTGTTATTTGTGATGTGTCGAGTATAATACGACGGAAATGATTATTATCTACCTTAGCATTTTTCAACAACTCCCATTTAGGAAAGATGTAGAACTCGATTCCTTTGTAGTAGCCTGGCAGAGTCACACCACGGACGAGCAGGATAAGGAGCACCACGTATGGGAATGTAGCGGTAAAATACACCACCTGGAATACACGAGTACGACATGGCTTCCATATAATATACAACATATCGGTATTGCAATTAAAAAGAAAGCTAAAAAGAAAATTTACACTCACTGGCAAAGGCGTAGTAGCAACTACAACAACAACAATAGTACGAACAAATTTAGCAAATGTACCTGTATCATACCATCACACAATTAATTTGGTATGTAAACGCGTGGGTATTGGTTTTTCATTATAAGCTTTGTTCACAATTACTTTGTCAGCTTTTTAGGTCATTGTTTTCGTACTGGTTTTTTGTTTTGTTTTTCAAGATTGAACAATTTAATTTTTACCTTTCCAGATGACTTAACACCTTTCATTAGACAGAAGAAGATGAAGAGCCAGCAGATGAGAAGACAGAGGACATTTTTCAGACTCACGCCTCCGATGTCCTCAAGACCATCAGATTCATGTACCCTCAGAACGTATCGACTGTGGAATAAGACAGGAATAAACGAACATTGAAAACTTTTTCTTGAAAATTAAATCAATATCAGATTGTCATAAGTAATATTGTCTTCTTGTTTGTTTCAGTATTTTATTGCTGCCTAGAAATCTGTTTTCGTGTCGGCTTAATTTTGATCAATCTTATGTACCTTCACCCCAATGCAAAGACACTATTTATCGTTAGTTTTGGAAGTGAAACATTGCATTAAGTGGCGATGAATATATTTGCAAATTCAACCTCGATCATAGATACAAATAGAAGAACCAGAATATCGATAACGATATTAGTCAAATTATGATTTACATACAATACAGTTGAAAGTTCCTTTGATTCGAAATACTTTACACCAAAATCTGCAGGCTGAAGCCCATATATGTAATTCAACTTACTTCCAATATTCACTGCTTGCTGTCTCAAATTGGATGTCACAATCGTCTGTATGATCTGTTAGTATTGTGGAGTTGAGTTGCGCTATTGATGTGAAGGTTTCCCCGAGTTTGGTGCTCAATTTTGTGAGCATGTTCGTGAGACAGGTTTGGTCTTTCAATCCTGCAATAGTCAAAGAACAATGAGTTATTGAGACTGTGAATATTATAATTTGCCTAACACACCTTCATTAAATATTGCTATGTATTTTAAAACTTTTTCCTAAAACAAATATTTTCCATTAAATATCTTAAATAAAATTTCTTTTTTGACTAGTAAATCATATAGCTTTCACAATGCTTAATCGAAAGCATCACTATTTCTGTTAAGGCTACATGGTATCTATTTTTAGGAATATGATACGGTTTAGATGACAAAACATTTATTATCATTAAATTGATAGGAAATTATTTAAATGTCATATGTTGAAAACATTTTTCAGACACATTCGAAAAATTACAATTTGGAATTTCGAATTCTTCAATTAAAAAAACACAAACATATATCAATTCAATTTAAACTATAACCAAGGAAAACAATTTTCTCTTTTTCATTTGAAAGATATTCCAATGACACGATAATCTAATGGAAAGTTTGATTGTTTGTTACCTAGAGTGGCGTTCACTTTCATAGTCTCATTCATATTTGTGAGATCAGGGTATGGTTCATCCCTACACCTTTCAGTGTTCCAAGCTTTTCCACACCGCTGCCATGGTAACTCGTCGTCAAGGTTGACAAAGGACACAAACATGTAGTATACGGCGTACATGATGATGACGTTATAGTAGGTACACACCATTGCACTGATCAAAATCATAGCCCAACCAATACCTGAAGGTCAAGGTCATCAAAATATTATCAAAACGAAACTGATCACGAAAAATTAACAATATTATAAAGAAGTAAAATGATAAAGAATAAATGGCAGTGTTTCAGGCATAGCCATAATTATTGTCAACATTGGCGCAGTGTCATAAAAGCCGAAGTCGTTTATACGTACCCATGAAGAGAGGGCTTAGTGACCAAGCAGTGACTGGTCCTTGAGAGGAGAACTGACCTAAACACAACTCCAGGAAGAATAGGGGTAGCCCAGCCACCAACAACATGATGACGTAAGGTACGAGGAAAGCGCCTGTAAAAAAGTGTTAGTGATGTTCAAGATAAATGGAAGGCAAAAGAGCCCATCTATTCACTTTAGCTGTCAGTGATGATAAGATTTATGGTCGGCTATTAACTGGCAATACAGTATTTGGAAAGTTCTATACAACTTCCTTTGTTGGTTTTTGAACGATTTTGCGATAGTTACAAATGTATATAGCAATGGTAGGTTTTTGTTTTTGGTTCCTCTACTTCTCACTACTACACTAGATAGTAGTCAATCTATTGACCATTTACATTCAAGGTGGTGAATAGACTTTTTGATATGTTATAATTTGAATTAGCAAAAACACTTGTGTTTTGACGTGTTGAATTAGAAAGAGATTGTCCCCGCATATTTACGTATTGATATTTATATTACTACGTATTAGTATTTATACCACTTTATACCCTATACTTACCCCTTCCGATATTGTAGCAGTACTGGAATCGAAATACATTTGCTAATTCCGTTATATAATCCAGACGTATACCCTCCATCCAGTAAGTGAGACAGCAGAATCGCCACACAATTCCTAGTGCCATGGTATACCTAATACTTGGTTAGGGAAATCGCCAAACATTTCCCAGTCCAATTGTATACCCAATACTTACCCACCTCCGTTCCTGTAGAACAGGTAGGGAATCGCCAAACATTTCCTGATCATAATGTATACCCATACCTACCCCTCCGTTCCTGTAGAAGAGGTAGGCGAATCGCCAAACATTTTCGAATCCAACTTTGACCCATTACTTACCCCCTCCGTTCCTGTAGAAGAGGTAGGCGAATCGCCAAACATTTTCGATCCATACTTTGTACCCATTACCTACCCCCTCCGTTCCTGTAGAAGAGGTAGGCGAATCGCCAAACATTTTCGAATCCAACTTTGACCCATTACTTACCCCCTCCGTTCCTGTAGAAGAGGTAGGCGAATCGCCAAACATTTTCGAATCCAACTTTGACCCATTACTTACCCCCTCCGTTCCTGTAGAAGAGGTAGGCGAATCGCCAAACATTTTCGAATCCAACTTTGACCCATTACTTACCCCCTCCGTTCCTGTAGAAGAGGTAGGCGAATCGCCAAACATTTTCGAATCCAACTTTGACCCATTACTTACCCCCTCCGTTCCTGTAGCAGAGGTAGGGGAATCGCCAAACATTTTCGAATCCAACTTTGACCCATTACTTACCCCCTCCGTTCCTGTAGAAGAGGTAGGCGAATCGCCAAACATTTTCGAATCCAACTTTGACCCATTACTCACCCCCTCCGTTCCTGTAGCAGAGGTAGGGGAATCGCCAAACATTTTCGAATCCAACTTTGACCCATTACTTACCCCCTCCGTTCCTGTAGCAGAGGTAGGGGAATCGCCAAACATTTCCTAATCCCACTGCGTACCCGATACATGACAATAGAAAGTCTAGTTTTCCCGACCAATTTCCGCGCTCTGGCTCGTCCTGAAAACATAAAAAAAAATATCTAGAAAAAAGTCCCTGATTGTATAATAAAACGGATTCATTACATTTGAATTGCTTGCTCTTAATCCTCAGCTGAGTTGTTGACTAGATAAAATGTTAACATTCTTCTCAATCTAGGGAAATACGTATTTTTTTGTATTTGACGTCTATGTAACTGCCATGTTGATATGACTAAGCATCCATTAATCATACATGTGCAAGCAGAAATATAAAACACAATTAAGGTAATGGATACAATAGACAGGCTTTGTTACCTAGGATGACACAGAGGAAACCAGTCCATATCTCTTAAACATGTTTTTTTCTGTCACAGACCTTATTAATACCACAACGTGTCCTAATGATGCTTGTCTTAGTATGCATATTGTGCATTATATGCCACAGAGGAAACCAGCCCTTATCTCATCAAATTGTATTTTTTATCATATATATTATACGTATGACAATATCTCCTTACGAATATTTATTGTAAATTCACTGATCTAGATAATGATGATCAGGGCATGTTCTGGGATAAATTGTTGTGTGTGAGGACAGGCAATAACCTCCTAGTTAGTGAACCGAGCCATTTTGTCACGTATCGCATGTAAATGATCTAAGACACTGTCTGGCGGAAAAGATTGAAAATGAACAATGCAAATGACACTAAGTGTTCAGTGCACACCTTGCGGCAATGTACGAACCTAGTATTTTGATATAACATGGTATAAGAAGAGTATACATGTGTTATGAAAGTGAATAGTAAGGTTTACATACCGATTATTGAAACAGACTATTAGTAGCTTATAAAAGTTACAGTCAATAGTTAGGTTTACATAACGATTATTGAAACAGAGTATCAGTAGCTTATAAAAGTCATAATTCATTAGTATGGCTGATATAGCGATTATTGAAACAGGCTGTTGCATCAATGGTACATTCGATTCATTACCATAATCATCAGACTGAAATACCACATGGAGAGTAAATTGTATTACGTCTTGAAAAAATAATGATATTCAAGTGAGTGTTTCGACACGTGCAATCGCCAATCGACATCAAACCCTAGTAATACCGCAATGCAACATATAAGATAATGAGAAATATATTTGGTTTGTCCGCTCTTATGAGGACGCGGTCATGCCTTCTTACAGTAAATGAAAGACCAAATTTCGTCCTTCACCTTTATGCTGCACTTATATCATATCCCTTGTTTGATGTTTGATAGGAAGGATTAAGCTTTTAATTGATTTACAAGAGAACAGCAATATATCCTAAAAGTAGTGGTTTTGAGTACGTTTGAAATATTTCCTATTTTCCGTAACTTTTGTAAAACATCGAAGATTGGAATTCAAGTCAAATGTATTCATCGGGATAAATGAGGAAGGAATATCGCATCAGGTCATAATAAACAAAGAAAGTGAGGAAAAACTATACAAAGTTAACCACAACTATTCAGATATACAACGAGGTCATCACTGTATCGAAAGTCTTTCTTTATCAACCATCATTGAATCCTGATTTTCGCTGGGTGTGATGGCGCATATTGACATAAGATATATATGCCAGAGTCATTTGAATAAACCAAGGAGAATTGTATCAATGTAGTATCATAAGATATGTCAACAATGATTTACATGTGTTCTACTCTCTGTGGAAGTTGTAGAATATCGGTATTGTAATATTGTAGTATCATAAGATATGTCAACAATGACTTACATGTATTCTACTCTCTGTGGAAGTTGTAGTATATCAGTATTGTAATATTGTAGTATCATAAGATATGTCAACAATGATTTACATGTGTTCTACTCTGTGGAAGTTGTAGTATATCAGTATTGTAATATTGTAGTATCATAAGATATGTCAACAATGACTTACATGTGTTCTACTCTCTGTGGAAGTTGTAGTATATCAGTATTGTAATATTGTAGTATCATAAGATATGTCAACAATGACTTACATGTGTTCTACTCTCTGTGGAAGTTGTAGAATATCAGTATTGTAATATTGTAGTATCATAAGATATGTCAACAATGATTTACATGTGTTCTACTCTGTGGAAGTTGTAGTATATCAGTATTGTAATATTGTAGTATCATAAGATATGTCAACAATGATTTACATGTGTTCTACTCTGTGGAAGTTGTAGTATATCAGTATTGTAATATTGTAGTATCATAAGATATGTCAACAATGATTTACATGTGTTCTACTCTCTGTGGAAGCTGTAGAATATCAGTATTGTAATTGTAGTATCATAAGATATGTCAACAATGTTACATGTGTTCTATCAATATTGTAGTATCATAAGATATGTCAACAATGATTTATGTGTAAATGTAGAAATATAATATTGTAACATAAGATATGTCAACAATGATTTACATGTTTTCTACTCTGTGGAAGTTGTAGTATATCAGTATTGGAATATTGTAGTATCATAAGATATGTCAACAATGTAATACATGTGTTCACAGACTCTGTGGATTGTAATACCAGTATTCTAATGATGCTTGTCTTAGTATGTCAACAATGATTTACATGTGTTCTACAGTGGAAGTTGTAGTATATCAGTATTGTAATATTGTAGTATCATATATATATGTCAACAATGATTTACATGTGTTCTACTCTGTGGAAGTTGTAAGTATGATAGGGCATGTTCATAATATTGTTGTGTGTGAGTACAGGCATCCTGATTATGTCAACAATGATGTTGATCATGTGTTCTAAAATGAACATCAATATGTCAACAATGGTGTTCAAGTTGTAGTATATCAGTATTGTATATACATGTGTTATGATCATAAGATATTGTCAACATTATGATTTACATGTTAGTTCTACTCTGTGGAAGTTGTGTATTGTAATAGTGAAGTATCATAAGATATGTCATATTCATGTAGTATGGCTGTAAGTTGAAGATATCATCAATTGTAATATTGATTCATTACCATATGTCAGACAATGAAATACCACATGTGTATATACGTCTTGAAAAAATAATGATATTCAAGTTTAGTGTTTCGAAGTTGTAGAATATCGTATCAAACCCTAGTAATAAATGTCAACATATAAGATAATTATATGTGTTCTACTCTGTGGAATTGTAGTATATCTTATTGTAATATTGTAGTATCATAAGATATGTCAACAATGATTTACATGTGTTCTATCTCTGTGGAAGTTTGAAGGATAGGATTGTAATATTGATTTACAAGAGAACAGCAATATTTAATATTGTGGTTTTGAGTATCATATTGTAGTATCATTTCCGAACTTTGTAAACAATGATTTACAATTCTATCTGAGGAAGTTGTAGTATAATAAACAAAGAAAGTGTATGTCAAAGTTAACCACAACTATTCAGATATACAACGAGGTCATACTGTATCAAAGTCTTTCTTTATCAACCATCATTTACATGTGTTCTACTCTGTGATGATATTGTAAGATATATATGCCAGAGTATTTGTAAACTCTCTGTGGAAGGAGAATTGTATCAATGTAGTATCATAAGATATGTCAACAATGATTTACATGTGTTCTACTCTCTGTGGAAGTTGTAGAATATCGGTATTGTAATATTGTAGTATCATAAGATATGTCAACAATGATTTACATGTGTTCTACTCTCTGAGGAAGTTGTAGAATATCAGTATTGTAATATTGTAGTATCATAAGATATGTCAACAATGATTTACATGTGTTCTACTCTGTGGAAGTTGTAGTATATCAGTATTGTAATATTGTAGTCTCATAAGATTTGTCAACAATGATTTACATGTGTTCTACTCTCTCTGGAAGTTGTAGTATATCAGTATTGTAATATTGTAGTATCATAAAATATGTCAACAATGATTTACATGTGTTCTACTCTGTGGAAGTTGTAGAATATCAGTATTGTAATATTGTAGTATCATAAGATATGTCAACAATGATTTACATGTGTTCTACTCTGTGGAAGTTGTAGTATATCAGTATTGTAATATTGTAGTATCATAAGATATGTCAACAATGATTTACATGTGTTCTACTCTCTGTGGAAGTTGTAGAATATCGGTATTGTAATATTGTAGTATCATAAGATATGTCAACAATGATTTACATGTGTTCTACTCTGTGGAAGTTGTAGTATATCAGTATTGTAATATTGTAGTATCATAAGATATGTCAACAATGATTTACATGTGTTCTACTCTGTGGAAGTTGTAGTATATCAGTATTGTAATATTGAAGTATCATAAGATATGTCAACAATGATTTACATGTGTTCTACTCTGTGGAAGTTGTAGAATATCAGTATTGTAATATTGTAGTATCATAAGATATGTCAACAATGATTTACATGTGTTCTACTCTGTGGAAGTTGTAGTATATCAGTATTGTAATATTGAAGTATCATAAGATATGTCAACAATGATTTACATGTGTTCTACTCTCTGTGGAAGTTGTAGTATATCAGTATCGTAATATTGTAGTATCATAAGATATGTCAACAATGATTTACATGTGTTCTACTCTCATCTGGAAGTTGTAGTATATCAGTATCGTAATATTGTAGTATCATAAAAAATGTCAACAATGATTTACATGTGTTCTACTCTGTGGAAGTTGTAGTATATCAGTATCGTAATATTGTAGTATCATAAGATATGTCAACAATGATTTACATGTGTTCTACACTCTGTGGAAGTTGTAGAATATCAGTAGAAAAGAGTTACATTGCAGTAAAATGCCTGGCAATGAGAAGCGAAAAAATCAAATATTTCGAATGAAAAACAAATACACTATGTTTTTGACAGAAAAACAAATACACTATTTTTTTGACAGAAAAAACAAATATGCTTTGTTTTTTGAGAGAAAAAACACATACACTATGTTTTTGACAGAAAAAAAAACCAAATACACTATGTTTTTTTACAGAAAAAAAACAAATACACGATGTTTTTGATAGAAAAAACAAATACACTATGTTTTTGACAGAAAAACAAATACACTATGTTTTTTTACAGAAAAAAAAAACAAATACACTATGTTTTTTTGAGAGAAAAACAAATATACTATGTCTTTTATGTCTTTCTATGTCAAAATGTACTTTGATATTTCAGCTCCTTAAAATGCAGTCAGTACACACCAAGACCATAATTTTTTGTGGACGGAGAGCCATATGAATTTAACACTAATATGTCTGCGGTGCTTGAATTCTACTAATGTGGTTTTTAGAGTGTTTAACCTACATTTGGTGAAAGAATTAAAACTGAATCCCCTCTTTAAATATCGATTGGATATTTGATGTGGGTCGTATCGACTTAATGCTACTTTTATTTCTTTGACAGGTTTTAACAGGTGAGGTGAACAGACAAGGACAGGAGAGGTATAACCAGCACAGTGTACGGACAAAATAGTCGGCCATTAATGACAGCGTGTCAGGCTGGCCATTACTAGTCACGGGCCTATGTATACCGACACTGGTAGTAACTAAACAAGTCCAAGTCTATTTATGCCATTTAATGGTGTTCTTTTACTGCTCAACTCGAGTTGGGAAGTGGTCTTAATGTATATATACGGTTGTTTATGTCAAACTAAGCGGTTCTTCGTGGACTTTTTCACACTATTCGGCATACAACGTACTGCTAACGTTTATATTTTGGCGCATTAAAGTTTCGCGCACTACTTTGAACTTATAATAACAATAATGAAATTATGCATCCATAACGATTAATGTAAAACAACAATAAGTGCATCCATGTTTGGGCGCAATATTTTCATCGTGAAAAAGACTACCATAGAAATATAATTCATGACTATACGTTTACAGCATATTGTAGTAACACAACTTATCTTTTGTTGAACTGCTAATAGGAAATAGTGATATGGGTAGATTTACATTTATATAAAGATAAAGCATAACAGTCGGCGTCATACTGGTGGTTACTTTATATAATTCTCGTGTTTTGTAAATATGTTTATTTACCCTATGGTTAATTTTTTGTACTCAGAATTTTCATAAGTGACTTATAAAGTGTTCATTTGACATAAAAAAATACAACCGACAAATATAAAATGTTAAATCATACAAAAGCTTATGAAGTGAAATGCATAAAAAATATACAACCTACGGTTGTTTCATTTACCGCATGTATCTGCAGCTAATTTCATAACACGAAAGGTAGTACCTAATGATATTCTCTAAACTAAGCCGATAATTATCGTGATAAAAATCAAAGTACTTAAGAACTGATAAATAGTTCATTTCGTTAGATATTGAGAAAATTGAATTGAAGGGAAAGAACTTCATTCCTCGTACTTGATAATGACGTCATCAACAGGTCTAACGTCACGAAAAGTTATACTGTTTGCATAAGGGGTCAATAACACATAAAAATCAACTCGGCAATGAATGACTCTAGTTAAGTCACCAGTTTCATTATCTCAAAGTAATAATTTTGTACTTATTAGTAAGTTATAGAAACGCGATCCTCCTGAAAGTAAATAGTGTTAGGAATGAAGATTTGATAGTCCGAAGCCAGCATTATCGGTCTGACGGATAATACAGTATGTGTATTGAGTAAGTTTTATCTCGCATGATTTGCTTTTTTCTAAAGCACAGGTGTGTCAATATTACTCTAAATTCATGCCAACCACTAGAAATTTCATTGAAAGTGATATCATATGTTCAATGGGTGTTCGAGATGTTTGTATGGAATAAGTTTTATTTCTATTAAAACTGAACATCTTTAGCGCGGTTGCATATTGAAATACAATTAATCAATTCTGAAGTGGTGCCGTCCGTTTGAATGGTCGACATCTGCATGGCGGCCACGTACATGACAGTGGCACGTAAAAGCCTCTACCACAGGACGAAAAATAGAAATGCCTTTCAAACAGGATGCATTGATTAACATTTTGTATAGGTATAAGTAAAATCCAAAGCTATAAGGATTTCTTTAAAAGCTGTAAGATTTTACACGAAATATGTTGTACAGATTTCAAGCAAGTTTTTTAATTTATTGACAATACCCTATTACGTAAAATCGTGATATAAAGTTAAACATCAAAAATAAATCAATCAGACTCATTTTAAATGAAAAATTCAACAGAAAGTTTTAAAATTTCCAATTTTATTTTGGGCTAACGGATAAGACAACAACGTATATTACTTCACAATGTATGGAGTTTACAAAGGTAGGACATTATTGAAATTGTGGCTGTGACTTGTAATTTCCGTTCCCTCGCCCATAGCAGTTATTATGTCTTACCTGCGTAAATTATAGTATTGGTTTTGGGAACAGATATGATTTGAATGTTTCTGATTGTACAAAAGACACAAAGTGAGTAGCACCTTTTCATAATTTAGAGTGAGACATATTTGTGATCCGAAACAAAACCCATAACAATACTATTTAAATGATGACCATGGTGAAGTATCAGTTCCCATGATTCCAATCTTAATTCAATTCAAAATTGAACAACTAATTTTAAGAGTATCTAAACGTTGCTTTCGAAGTTAAGCAAATGCCTCAGTATCTGCTGGCTTACCTTTAATTTGACAGCTTCATTGGCAATGTTAGGGGTGGCATCCTGGACATTGGTGTCGTTTTCTATTTCTGCTGACCTTTCAAGGTCATTTTTGCCAAAGGCATTGCCTTCTATATCCGTCTGTTTGGATGCATCCTCCATGTCAACAGCTCACAGAAGTTAGACAGAATACCTTCACATAAGCGGGGTTATATAAAGCGCGGTGTGAGAACCTATAAATTGTAGCGAGGTGATACCACGGCAGCTTATAACGGTGTCTAAAATCACGGGGTCAGATGACTTTTTATTGATATACGGAAATGGAGATACAGAACAATATTTCCAGGTAATACATTTTTATCCTTGATATATACATATTTCATATTTATATGACGCAAAAATAAAACAAATAAATTACAAAGATGAACATCTAAATTGAACGATTTCCTTCTTATTATGAATTTTTGTGATTAATTTGGAGTTTGAATTAAGATTTTGTTAACATGCTGGTATATCCTGTTGTGTTATGAAGAGGAAATGTATATTATCATGCTGGTTACACTATTTGGGAGATATCACAAGTGTATTGTATTCTTTGTATTAGTTGTAATGCCAATTATACTCTTATTTCAGTGAAATACGAGTGGCTGTTAAAAAAGGGAGAACTGGTGTTTTTGTACAAGTTCGAGCAGCAAATAGAGTGAAAATGTAAAATAGCCATCAATTCTTCATTAGAACAACCTTTGTTTCTACAATAACCAAGACCGCTTAATTCGTACTGATAACCATGTCGGTATATGTTATTCTGTATGACCATTAGACATTTCAGAGACGAAACCTTACAAACAGTTAAACAGTTAAAAGGACATCACCGTAAATCTTTAAATTTTATTTCTCCAAGCTCTGCTTTATAAGTCGAGGCGGAAAATGCAAAGAGCGTTTTAGGGATCAAAACGTTCTAGAAATGACCTCCATGAATAACATTGACTTTGTCCGAAAATGAGAATCTGACTGCAAAAGTTGTTATGCATTATTCTTGTTGTCATTGTACTTTTTGTACTTTCAGTGTAAATCTTTGTTCTGTTCCTAATTTACTGTTGTTTCATTGAATTTCGTTGCTACAAAGTAATTTAATGATCATCACGAGTTCCTTTTCAATGATTACTTGTTACATTGTTTAAGAAAAGAAAATGGTAATACATGTGTACATGGAAAATACCGTCTATGATAATATTTAACGACATACTTCTTACAATATTCTTATAATGATAGTATAACGGACATTGCTCGATTACGGTAGTGTCACGTTATCAAAGTATGATCAGAAAACATTTTCTTACATATGTGTATAACTACATGTAGGCTTGAACCTGATGTAATGTATACAATGTTATATTTCAGTCTGTAGACAAATGAAGAGATTACAGCTCATGCAAGAATTTCCTATTGTCCGTCATAAGAACGGCTTTAATTTTGTTCAAACAACGATATTTCCCACCGCCTAAACTGCGCCTGCGGTACCAGGTACTGTTCACAGTGATCTGATTTAATTATGATAACCTGTTTTATCCCAAGGAGTGACCAATTCACAACTTTAGTACTGTCACAGTTATGACCATGCGTATTGCTGGGCCGTGATGTCGGCGATTCCGACTTACAAATATAGTGTTGACCAGTTGATGGTTAATACATGTATGACTAAAGCTTGTTTTGTTGTTGTTTACGATAAAATGCCATTAAGATGTACGTTCGATAGAGTGTGGTCTCCACGTGAGGCCATAGATACATTTAGGGTGTGTAGTAAGGATAGTATTCTAGGCACTAGAGATTTAGGTTTTATTTTGAATGATAACTTTGCGTTTACAAACTCTCTATCATAAAACATTTCAGAATAAATTTGTCTATTTTAACTGACAAGATTTGTCCATTTTTAAATTCTATTGAAGGTAGAATATATAGAATATTAAAGTAGTATAGGAGAATATCAATACGTCCATTATAAGTTTTCCATACTGAAATAAATGAAATTTGCCATATAAGACTTGGTGTATTTACATTTTATAAACCACAATAGTGTACTGAAGAGAAACGCATCGTTGTTAAGGCTAAACCACCACTTTACTTTTTTTTTGTCTCTTTGTATACTACAAACATCATTCATCACTTACTTTGTCACAGTTAATGAGCCAAAATAAATGTATACAAATGTACACAAGGCATTGTCATTTGTAAGATTAACAATGTACACATGTGAAAGCCAGCCTTTTCAGAACACCCATTCGTTCTTAATACTTTGGATGGCACTGTAAACTGATTAAGCTTACTCTTCCTATTTTGTAAACACAAATATTGAGGCCTGAAGATCCTTTGATATTTGTCGGCAAGGTAATGTGTGAACACGTGCTTGTTATGTTAATATGTAAATATTACACAACGGGTCGTCATGTACATTAATTAAGGTTGTTTTAAGAAGACATTGCTTTTAAGCCGATACGTTATTTGATATGTAAACATTTATGGGCCATGAATATAAGTAAGGTTTTCCTGTTTCAAACACAAGTACTTCGTTCACCTACAAAGGTGGTATCTTAATTAAATCCACCAAATTAAACTGTAACAAGCACCTGCAAAAGACTTTCCCAACAACAACAGCAGTATCAGAAAATTATCTCTGTTAACGAAACCTAACCGACATGTTGTGGCTAATAAGTCATTGTTGTGTGATATACAAAAATAACGGAATTATTGAATAATGGATCTGGTGGACCACCCCATCAAGATCTAAACTTTTCCTTTAATCACTTATTATGGAAGGAAGAAAGAGGACACACATTCAATGAAGATTTGTTCATATTTATACTCGTCGTGTTTAAATTTGCCTCAAGTTAGTACAATTGATTGAGACTAGATGATAGATCATGTCTTTGCTGACAGATGACATGACCTTAGCTATCACCCTCATCTATAACTTTAGTGCGTGGATCATTGGTCGCCCGACTGCGTCATCAATTACCGTCACGCCCTATGGCGACAATATTTGTATACATACACTGAAGTAAAAAATGTTTCGATCTATGTTGAACACACAGTAATACATGCGACATCTTCACGAGGATTTACGAAATGTGTCTATCTTAGTGATACACAGACGTTCCTTGTTTTAAATAAAGTGGAAAAGGGATTATAGGTCTTCTTTTCTCAATTTATCAATATTTTCTTTAAAATCGCAAATATTATAAGCCATATTTAACCACATTTTTATTCAAGAGTCTATCCTTATATCATTTTGTTCATAATAACTTTTTGTATAATATAATTTATGCATGATTTTGGTAATGTGTTTCAAGCACATGAGTTTCATATTTTGCATTTAGTGTCTTTAACGTCTCCAGTTTTGCGGTTTACAATTCCATATAGACAAAAGTCTCTATTTTGCTTCCTGTTTCACTTTCTGCTTTAATATTCATTTAACACTGAGTTAAGTGAATTGATAATGATATTCACGTCGAGTCGTTTGTCGTGTGATAATGTCATGAACTTATCTCGTCCAAATTGTCTTTATTGTAGAACCTGGTGACTACGAATATTTATACTCACGTATTTCAGTATACAATTCATACAAAGTAAATATCACTTCTTTCGAACTGTGAATCCTGATACACGATTTAAACGTATGTTGGTTAGTTACAGGACAAAAAAATCAAAGACTGTTTGCGCTCCAGCTAAGCAAACACGAGATTCCAATTTTGGTCCTGTCACATTTGAATAAAGTTTGTACCGACTTGAAGTTGACCTGGGTAATATTTAAAGTCAACAAAATTGAACAATCAGTATTTGAGACAAGATCGAACATATCACTGGCGTTCATTGACATTAATTTTTTTCTCTGTGTCACCAAGGATGATGATGCTAATAAATAAAAAGAACAAAAGAGTCAAGGTCCCGAAACAGCGTCATTACGTACACAAATATTAATATACTTCATGATCGCCTTTAACGAGTTCCATCTAAATCGTTGTGATGGGAATTATCCTGGTCAAATTCTTACCACGTTGCTATAACAGAGGTAATTGTGCATGACGTATGCATACACAAAGTTACTTTAGACTTAATTACGCGAGATGTCGACATGAGTCTACCATACAACAGTAATATAACTGGGAACATCAGTTAAGCCTGTTTCCGGAAACAAATCTCCGAAAGGAATGTTTATAAAAGTGAACAGTGAATATTTTCATCCGAAACTATTGGTTTATATATATAATGGTCGTAACACTGCATTCCATCTGGGCATCAATATTTGTTCCGAGTACACTTAAATCTGTTCGATGCAGTCATCCTGTTACCCAGATCCTAGTAGTAAGGTAGACGACGTCCAAGCGCATCGTCTCCAAAGCGGCTACCCGAATTGGCTTTTTACTAACCAAGTGTTAACATCGCTGATATCGCGTGTAGAAATGTATTACGACCAATGTTTTCTTCAAAATTGTAAGATAACTTGGAGGCAACAAGCTGTCAGAACGTAAAGAGTCAGGGACGCGATTAGTTTAAATTATGCTGAAGGTAAATCCATATCAATGAGAATGTGTAAGATATTCTGATCACCATCAAAGCACTTTAAAGTTAATATCATTACTACGGAGACCTCGTTTAATGAATGAATCATACATGACACATGGGTATTATGTTTATTTTGTCCTCATCGGCGAATTTTTAACCTTGAATCTTAACACATTTAAAAATAACTATCCATGACGCGTCGAGTAAATAAAAAAATCAAGAAAATACCAACATGGCAACATCATCATAATTCAAACTCAAATTCCAAAAACTAGGGCAAAATATGAACGAAAGAAATATTTACACGGAGATTCCAGATAAAGTACAAGGAGAATACGACCAGGTTTTCCGGTAGAGTAAGCGTCTTCTGCTTCATCGACTCATTTGAGATTTAAATTATTATGTTGTAATTGGTGCGATTGAAATACCATATTGGAAAAATAAATGGAAATGTCGTTCAAACCGAACGATTTAAAATTGGATTTTTTAAAAAAAAAAAAATTTAAAAAGTTTTTAATTGTGTTCATAATATACACATGTATTTGCTTATATTTCTAAAATTTTCAGATATATGGAAATTACGAAATATATTGAATGATGGA